TTGTTGAGCAGCCAACATAAAACAACACGGCGTTAAAGGATTTCATTACAAAAACTTGATTTTCCTGCAACAACGATCCACTCCAAAAATCACCCTTATGTAAGGTCGTGGTACCATTCAGAGACCGTTCTTGCAGCAACGTTTGCTTTATTGGCAGTGTTGCCAGAGTTACACACACAAAAATAAATAAATAAATAAAATCCGATTTTGAATTACTGATTGATTTGTCTCCAAGCTACTTATTTACTTTATAGATAGAGAAAAAGAAGAAGGGCTGGAGCAAACTGGTCCTGACATTTGTTTAGGTGCAAAGAAAAATAACCAATGTTTCCACAAAAAATGTCTTCTTCATAGATTGTTTGGGTGTAACGTTAGTTAGTTAGTGCTCCAGCCATTCTTCTTTTTCTCTGATGTCCCTTGGGCTGTCAGAGCACCTGTGTCACTTATTGGACAAAACGCAACATGCTTGTCTATTATTACTTATATACTTTATTGATTACTTGATTTTAATAGTGGGCTGCGCAGTGGCACAGTGGTTAGAGTTGTTGCCTTGCAGCAAGAAGGTCCTGAGTTCGCTTCACGGCCTGGGATCTTTCTGCATGGAGTTTGCATGTTCTCCCTGTGCATGCGTGGGTTCTCTCTGGGTACTCTGGCTTCCTCCCACAGTCCAAAAACATGACTGTTAGGTTAATTGGTCTCTCTAAATTGTCCTTAGGTGTGTGTGTGTGTGTGCATGATTAATTGTCCTGTGTGTCTCTGTGTTGCCCTGCGATGGACTGGCTCTCTGTCCAGGGTGTACCCCACCTGATTGCCCGTTGACTGCTGGAGATAGACACCAGCCCCCCCGCGACCCTACGTGGACAAGCGGGTTCAGAAAATGGATGGATGGATTTTAATAGTAACCAAGTTAGATTACAAGTTACTTTTTCAGTTATATTCAGCACCACAGCCTAGCTTTGCTCTTTGGGAATAAAAAAATATTAATTATATAAATAAGTAAATATATAGGAAGTAAAATATGTACGATGTCCCAACATCGCTGGTCATTGGTATACAACAGGTTACTTATCCAACTTCTGGTTCCTTCATGAGAATCACATGTGAGCATTAAAGCTAATGTAGGAAATAGTGGACAGACAGAAAGTAGCACAGATGAGTGCTGTGTTGGAAAAATCGATTGTTTCAAAAATTCATAAAGATCAATTTGTACGTCCAAAGGTCGTACAGCTAAAATAGAAAACATGTCCAGAAGGGCATTTTTACGCTTGGGTGTTAGTTTTCCCCTGGCGAACTTTAACCCATCCACCATCAAGCATGCATGCTAGGTGTGAAGATATTAAAAAACACTAGCGGCAACATTAGCTTACCACTGGTTAAAGCCGCAGCAGCATTTTGAGTTCAGAACAGACAAACCGTAAGTTCAGCTTGATAAAAGCAAAGCGATTTACAAGGAAAGCAAAATGGAGGTGAATTATTGAGGAAATACGACCAATCTCAAGAACCACATGAATCAAGATCTAGCATCCAAGACTTTCATCAAGTCCACAACAGATTCGTGTCGTTTTGTTTATTTCAATCAATCAAATAAAAGTTACATTAAAACAATTCATATTCACAAATAATCATAAATGAAAAGGAGCAGAAAGAAGCAAAAACTTATAATATCTGCCCCCTTTTCACATCAAGACATTAGCTGTTCAACTCAAAGAATTTCATTCATCTAACCCCCACCCCAACACAAAACGAGTCAATCAGCCTACTTAAGGTCTTATTACTTCATCATGATACGTTTCACAATTTTTTAAAATACAGAAAATGATTTAGATTGTTTTGTTTCACTGTTGAGTCTATTCCATAGAAAGACACCTTTAACTGAGATACATCTTTCCATTATCGCTGTTCGGAATCTCGTTTTTTTAAAAATATCAGTTCCTTTTAGATTATAATTACTTTCTGTTTTTACAAATTTCTTTTGAATATTTATTGGTAGAATTCCTTTATGTGCTTTGTACATATGTTTTAATAAATGATATTCTACTAGTTTGTCAAATTTCATTAGGTCTAGTTGTGAAAACATTGGATCCGTATGATCCCTGTATCCACTTCCACTAATAACTCTCACTGCTCTTTTCTGTAAAAGAAAGATTGAACGCTTATATGTTTTGCAGGTACTTCAACCATACTTCGATACAATATGTCAGATATGGAAGAATTAACGAGTTATACAGAATATGCAAAGCTTTTATTGTCGTCGTCTTCCTCCGCTTATCTGGGTCCGGGTCGTGGGGGCAGCATCCCAACTAGGGAGCTCCAGACCGTCCTCTCCCCGGCCACCTCCACCAGCTCCTCCGGCAGGACCCCAAGGCGTTCCCGGACCAGATTGGAGATGTAACCTCTCCAACGAGTCCTGGGTCGACCCGGGGGCCTCCTGCCGGCAGGACATGCCCGAAACACCTCCCCAGGGAGGCGTCCAGGAGGCATCCTGACCAGATGCCCAACCCACCTCAACTGACTCCTTTCAATCCAGAGGAGCAGTGGTTCTACTCCGAGTCAGTCCCGAATGTCCGAGCTCCTCACCCTATCTCTAAGGCTGAGCCCGGCCACCCTACGGAGGAAACTCAATTCGGATGCTTGTATCCGCAATCTAGTTCTTTCGGTCATTACCCAAAGCTCATGACCATAGGTGAGGATCGGGACGTAGATCGACCGGTAAATCGAGAGCCTGGCTTTCTGGCTCAGCTCCCTCTTCACCACGACAGATCGGCTCAGCGTCCGCATCACTGCAGACGCCGAACCAATCCGCCTGTCGATCTCCCGATCCCTCCTACCCTCACTCGTGATACTTAAACTCCTCCACTTGAGGTAGGACCTCTCGCCCGACCCGGAGATGGCAAGCCACTCTTTCCCGGTCGAGAACCATGGTCTCAGATTTGGAGGTGCTGATCCTCATCCCAGCCGCTTCACACTCGGCCGCGAACCTACCCAGCAAGAGCTGAAGGTCAGAGCTGGATGAAGCTAGGAGGACCACATCATCCGCAAAAAGCAGAGACGAGATTCTCCTACCACCAAACTCGACACACTCCACACCACGGCTGCGCCTAGAAATTCTGTCCATAAAAGTGATGAACAGAACCGGTGACAAAGGGCAGCCCTGGCGGAGTCCAACCCTCACTGGGAACAGGTCCGACTTACTACCGGCTATGCGGACCAAACTCACGCTCCTCTGGTAAAGGGACTGAATGGCCCTTAACAGAAAGCCACCCACCCCATACTCCTGGAGCGTCCCCCACAGGGTGTTCAACAATTCCTTTGTCTTATTTAATACTGAAATAGCTCGAGATATTTTAATCTTAATATAATTAATGTGAGACTTCCACGATAAGTGTTCGTCAATAATGAACAGATTAAACTCAAGGAAACAATGCAACTGCCAGCTAGCTCTACATGTTCCCACAAAATAATTGAGGCGTTGGCGGACTTCATTTGTGAGGATGTGCACCTTTATTATGTTGTTAAAAACGACGGCTTCAAACGGTTTGTGAAAGTAGCGGAGCCGCACGACGTTATGGCGTCTCACAAACGGCTTTCAGAAGAAGTCATCCCAAACATGTACCAGTCGGCCAAAGAAAACATGAAAGGTAAGCTTGAATCAGCAGAGAGTGGGCATTAAAACAGACAATTGCACATCTGTGGCTACAGAATCGTAGCTTGTAGTTTGACAACACACACTATTGACGAGGACTGGAACCTTGTCTGGTGCGTACTACACAACGCATCATAATGAACATTCAGAAAGAACTACTGGTCCTTAGTTGTTTTAAACTGCCAATATTTCATTAATTTGTTGCTCAGTGTCAATAGTTATTCATGCATTTATCACTTCCAGACTCGACTTTTCCAACTCAGTTCTAATTGGTGTAAATGTATCTGTCCTAAATCGTCTGCAGAAAGTCCAGAATGCTGCAGCCAGATTTCTTTCCAATGCAAATAAACGCTGTCACATCACTCCCATTCTGGATGATCTACACTGGATTCCTGAGCAATTTTGAATTCAGCACAAAGTTCTAACTTTTACCTACAAAGCCCTGAATGGTCTAGCCCCCTTATACCTGTCAGAGCTGCTCAGCGCACCCCCCCCCCCCCCCCCACGCCCATCACTAAGGTCTGCTGATCATCTATTGCTCAAAGTGCTTACAATGAAGTGTAAAGCTCGTGGGGAGCATGCGTTCACCTTTGCTGCTCCCAGACTCTGGAATGCACTCCCTCTAGTGGTAGGCCAGGCTTCTTCACTGGCACAGTTTAAGTCCAGCTTGAAGACACATTTTTTTTTATTTAGCTTTTGGTCAAGGATCGGTCTTTTATGCTGTGACCCTCTTCTGTTTTTACTGACTTCTGTTTTTATTGACTTCTCTTTTTATTGGCCGTTTTAAATTTTTGTATTGATTTTAGGTGTTTCTATTTTATGACAGTTTTTATCCATGTTTACTGTCTATGTATGTGAATTTGAATGGCTTTTTAGGTTTAACTCTGTGCAGTCCTTTGGTCAGCTGACATGCTGTTTTTAAATGTGCTATATAAATAAAATTGGATTGGATTGGATAGTGTTAATATACTGCACAACTACATGTAACATGTAATTAGGGATAAAAAGAGGAGTTTTAAAATCGCTGACCCTAATCAGTATTGGATGGAATTGAATCGTGCTCATCGATTCTAAATCTTGAGAATTGGAATCGAATCGATTCTTGAAATTAGAATCGATTTGCAGCACTAAACAAGACCTGAAGATGTGGTGGACATTTAAACATACGGGCACATCCATGGACTACTATTATTTTATGATTAGATTTAGGTGATATTACTTTTTGGATTATTAATTAAAAAGATACATTTGGTCCCCTCCTTTTCTGTGACATCACAGCCAGCTGTACCAATAAGGTGTTCGTGCACCTCTGCAGCTTGTTGCACAACTCTTAGTGAAGATGTGGAGTCACACTGACCTTACGATCCTCCTTAAAGAGCTCAGCTGCTGTGGTGAAGTGAGGGATGGCGCTCTTACAGTGAGGACACCCTGTGGGACATCAGACATGTGGGGCATTAATACAGCTCATGTCCATACAGATACATCACGTCCAGACAGGGACACATGCCTAAGCAGATATTGTAATCATGCATGTGTTTACAGAATAGCTTCCATGCACAATTCAGTCACACACACACACACACACACACACACACACACACACACACACACACACACACACACACACACACACACACACACACACACACACACACACACACACACACACACACACACACACACACACACACACACACACACACACACACACAGTTCACACTCCTGCAGTCACTATGAAAAACACTGTGTTTTATGAGACTAGTCCTCTTTATTGCTGCCATAAACATAACAGTCCTGCCTCTCTGCTCTGATAACATTTACACTGTAAGTCACCACCTGCTGGTGTTTTATTAGATTACTTTTTTCTATGTCAGATAGATAAATCCCCTCATTGGACAAGTAAAACAATCTTTAAACTTGCTTATTGGGCAGAAAATGCCCAATATCGAGTCCTGATGAGACCTCTCAAACGTTAGTATCTCAGAAGACAGCTGTGCCTGATCTGAAGCTCAATTTAAAACAGCTCTGCAGTAATCAGACAGCAGTGATGGAGCTGCAGATGGTCTGGGCGTGCTGAGGGGACAGCTGCTTGTTTTTGCCTGATGTACATCTGGAGCATCTCTTTGTAGACGGTAAGACCAAAGGGCCGACAGTGGAAGCAGACTGACCGGTGCAACCTGTCTGGCTTTGAAGCCCGAATCAGGAACAAAGGGTGAAACACACCGACAGGTGAGCATGTTTGTGTGTCTGGTAAGAGAACACGTTTGCCTCACTGTATTCTCCAAATGTCATTAAACTCATAAATGAAGAAATAAACTACTGATTCAAGCAGCGGTGAACTTTGGGCATAACAGGTTTGGTGGAGTTGAGTCTAAATGTGCAAATTAGTTCATTTTAATATATGCAAGTTGAGTTACTGCAAATAAAATGGTTTTAGGAGAGCAACTCATACTGAGTCACTTCTTTGCCTCCCTGAGGCTTAGGTGGGGTTTATGTGTGCTCTGCAACGAGGAGATTGGCAGGAAGCTCTGAGAAACACACACACACACACTGAAATTTATAAAGCAGCGCTGTGATCACACTCTGTGGCAACATCATACTCTTGATAATTCCATCAAAAATATCCCCAGCATTTGAAATGTAATAAATTTTGAGAACTGCCAATTACAGATGAGTTTATTCATTGCGTCGCCACTCCAGGCTCTTTGTATGAGGACTTAATTATATAAATATCTGGAGGCAGCTGTGGTTCAGGAGCTGTCTTCAAATTAGAATACTGAAAGTTTAATCTCCACCCATGTGGAGTGTGCCCTTGTGCTGAACACTAAACTCAACAGCCGTACAGGTGGACGAATAAGAATGAAAGGAACCACATTTATACCGAGTGGAAATGTAAAAAGGACGAAGTTCATGTGAATGTGAGTGGGCGACTGAGACACTTGGATTAGAAGCTACTAGAGGCAGTGGCAGCGCCAGGGGCGCTAGAGCTACCCCTGGATTAGTCATTGCACCCCCAAGTAAATATTAGTTGTTTCTTTTTTTACAATTTAATTTTAATTTAACGTGTGGATGTGATAATATTTAACATACAAAACAAAAGTATCAGTAAATTATCATATAGATAGTAAAAAATTGCTAACACTAGCATACAAAGTCCGAGATGGTACGGCTCCCATCTACCTGAATCCTCTTGCAAAGGCTTACGTCTCGGCCCGGCCGCTCGGTCATCACAGGATCGTCGGCTAGCAGTGCCTACACCACGCTCAGGACAATCCAGACTCTTCTCATGTATCGTTCCACAAATGTGGAATGATCTACCAAGCACTACCAGAACAGGAGCTTCCTTTTCAATTTTCAAGAAACTCCTGAAGACCCTGCTCTTCAGAGAGCATCTTCTAAACTAGCACCTTCCCTGCACCCGTCCCCCCTCTCTACCATCCACTCCTTTGTTCCCTCCTCTCCATGACTGATGTCAATGTTGTTGTTGTTAGCCTCAAGGGCAACATGCCGATTATCACTTGTAAGTCGCTTTGGACAAAAGCGTCTGCTAAATACATAAACATAAACACATAAACCAAAACAGGAAATTGATGTTAACCTTTGACTTCATTTTTCACTTGTGAACGAGTGAAAGGTAGAGCTAGTGGTAAAATGGATCGGTGTTTGTTGCCCAAATTTCCACGGGTTCAGTCAGAAATGAATGAATCTTTGGAAGTGATCTCATACCCACAAACACCTACGGATCTGGATGAAGAGTCAACCCTCAACCGCCGCAGCAGTCGAGTAGCCGTTTACTAAATCTATGAACTTTTGAGTTTCTACTTAAACATTTCTGTGCTCTTCCACCTCCCTCGTCCAGGGTGTTCCACAAGGTTCTGTGCTGGGACCTCTATTCTTCCTCCTTTATCTGCTCCTGATCCGCCACATTTTAAATAAATCTCCTGCACCTTCACCTAGCGGTAGAGTGTCCGCCCTGGGACTGGGAGAATGGGGTTCCAATCCTAGGCGGGTCATACCAAAGACTTTAAAAAGGGGACCCAATGCCTCACTCCTTGACACAGCTTTAAAGAGTTGGATTGGGGGGGGGGGGGGGGGGGGGGGGGGTTTTAAACCACCAAATAGTTCCTGAGCACGGTCATGTCTGCAGCTCACCGCTCCCCACAGGGATGAGTCAAATGCTGAGCTGTAATTTCACCACGTGTGATGATGACTAACAGATTTTACCATCTTTATGCATGTGACATTCAACTGTACATCTTCCTTAAGCCCAAAGAGATGTAGAACATTGCAGCTGTTGCACACTTGCTTAGACTCTGTTGAAGGTATAATCCACCCCTAAGTGAAGTTTAGTCTGTTGCTATAGTTCCCTGAGTTAGATAAATGGAAAAACGCATGTTGTAGCCAGCCCAGTCATTCTCTCAGTCTGGCAGCATTCTGTTAGCTTTAGCTTAGCATAAACAATGTAAGTGAATGGTAACAGCTAGCACTTTGTGTAAAAAAACATCATGAAAATGACACAGTATTGGTCCTAATGTTTCTTGGTGGCCTTAATAATCGTATCAACTGCAAATGAAAATAAGCAACACGAAGGAATCACAGCAGCAGTAGCTCAACATGTTGAGCGGGTTGTTCAGTAATCGTTAAAGGTTACTCGTAATCAGTAAAGGTTGCAGGTTCGATCCCGGCTCCAGACAGAGAATTCTGCTGTTGTGTCTTTGGGTAAGACACTTAACCCCCCTTGCCTGCTGGTGGTGGTCGGAGGGACCGGTGGCGCCTGTGCTCGGCAGCCTCGCCTCTGTCAGTGCGCCCCAGGGCAGCTGTGGCTACATCGTAGCTCATCACCACCAGTGTGTGAATGTGTGTGTGAATGGATGAATGATACACAGTAGTGTAAAGCGCTTTGGAGTCCTTACTCTGAGAGGCGCTATACAAGTGCCATTTATCATTTATCATAAAGTAGTGCTGTAAGCCTGCAGCTGCAAGGTGCATGGACGTGATGGTGGCTCCAAAAGACATCTACTTCCGTAACCACGAATGCATGAGTCAGCACTAAAGTTGACAGAGTACATAACAAACGATGTAAGTGTCTTTTAACCTCTTGACAGCATCCACCAACCTGGTCGTTATAGTACATGGAAAATAAAGTTCAAGACATTGTGAAATAATAATGCATTGAACTTATATAGCGCTTTTTAGGACACTCAAAGACGCTTTCACACACTCTCACATTCACACACTGCCAGTGATGGTAAGCTACTTTGTAGCCACAGCCGCCCTGGGGAGGTCTGACAGAGGCGAGGCTGCCATTTGGTGCCGTCAGCCCCTCTAACCACCACCAAAACAGGCAAGTTGGGTGAAGTGTCTTGCCCAAGGACACAACAGCAGAATACCCCTGGCAGGAGCTGGAAACGAACCCATGACCCTCCGATCATGAGGCAACCCGCTCTACCACCTGAGCTTCTGCTGCCCCAACATAAATAATTATTATAAAACTGCTTGTATGAAGTGGTATTGTGCTTTTTAAACAACCGTGATGTACTGAAACATTATTTTAGGCGCTTAATGCATGATTTGAATTGACAAATGAAGCAACAGCTCTTACATGGAGCGTAGAACATGACTAAAGCATGTTTCTTCTTCTTCAGAGCCTCTCTGAAATCCTCTGATCCAAGATGGCTGACACTAGAGGGCTTCTCCTCCCAGGACTGCTCTGGAGGTGGAGGAGCCTGAGGACTGCAGAGGCCAAAACCACCATTTATGCCACAGAACTCGGGTATTAAAAAAAAATATTGATAATAAAGTAACTGATGAATTTAAGATTCACCTAAACATATTCTAATTTGTATTTATGCTGCCTATAGTACCTGGACCTATGTCACTGAGGTCCTTTCTACAGCGACTCGTTTTTAAAAGCAACATTTAAACCTCTGTAAATATGTTTGCTGGACGTAAAAGCTAGATGCATGCCTGTTGAGCAAGTGACTCACTTGTGCAGGAACTCGATGATCTTATCTTTGGTTCGGAGTTGTGGAAGCGTGAATTTCTCCTCACCGTTCTCAAAATACTTAACAGTGGGGAAACCAGAGATCTTGAAGCGATCACCCACAGCCTTGTGTACCGTTGCATCCACTGCTGCCAACACACCTGGACTCTTGTGGAGAGAAAAAAAAACTTCATTTAAGTAATAAGAGTGATTCATCCACTTATAACATCTTAAAGGCCATTCTGCCTGTCTGCTTAGGCTGCCGCCCCAGTGACCCGACCATGGATAAGCAGAGGAAAATGGATGGATGCATATTTAACAGCTTGTATTTGTAAGAGAGGAAGTTACACTCAAAAAAGTAAACAAGTCACAAATCAAGAGTTACAGGCACAGATCTCGAGTCTGATTTCACACCATATACATATGTCTCCACAGCTGTGACAAACATACCTTGATCTCTCATCAAACTTGCTCAACAGTGAAGGTGAGGACGAGACTTAATGTCTCATTTGACTGGACAGTCACAGCATTTGTAGCAAAAGCACTTTGAAACAGAAGAAGCCCGAAGATATTTTAGATGAGTTTAGGAAAAGGTTAACTGAATTAAATGTGCATTACACTGGTATTATTAACTACATTGGGATTGATTTACACACTACTGGGATAAAATTGAATTTAGGATAAAAAGCCTTGTTTGGTTGGCCGTGCAGTTCATGACGCACATCGACCTTTGCAGGAGCTCTGTCTATTAGCTGTGTAATATCTAATTTGCTCCTTTTTATGATGACTCGCATAATCCGTCATTGAATCAGAGCCGGTGTTTGAACTTTCACCTCTTTAAGACCTCCAAAAGTTAAAAACAGACAGCAGTTTATTCGTTGTCTGGTGCGTGTCAAGCAGTGGCGTGTCCAGATCTTTTAAAATGGGGTGGCCCAGGTGAAGCACAACTTAGTGCGTGGGTGGCACCAATGGTTATGCTTTTTTTGTTTTACCCCCAAGCTTTTTGTGGACAATGAAAAGCCTATTTGAAGGTAAATTACTGTGGCGACACCTGGGGTGGCCAATCAGATTCCAAGGGTGGCATGTGCTACCCCAGGCCACTCCCTGGATACGCCCCTGGTGTCAAGCTAGGCAACTGAAGAGCTCCACAGGTATAAGGGTGACATTCAACAGACTTTCAGAAAGAGCTTTCAAGTAGATAAGCTGGTTGACTTTCACGGCGTATTTTTGCAGACTGAATGATAAAAAATGACAATATAACCTCATGCATTAATAACACAAGCATCAAGACAAAGAAGAATTAGCTAAATGATATTCTGGATCTAAAGAGCTGAAGTAGCTCCAGACCATACTAAATGGCAGTGAGGATTCTGACCTCCAGGGCTGCATAGAGAGCTACAAAGTCCAGGTCCAGGTTTTGACCCATAGGACGCTCAAGGATGAGATAACAGCTCCAGTCAACAGGCCTTGCTCAGGGTTGTAAAGTTACCACAGAAGAGAAAAACACCCAAATCACCATAAAGAAAAACTGGGCTGCTGGACCGTCTGACCAGTATTAGGGATGCAATGATACCACTTTTTTCCAAACCCGATACTTGGATCCGAGTACTCGCCAACACCAAATACAGATACAGATACTTCTACCACACAAAAAATGCAATGAATTGGAATACAGGTTTTATTTTATTTTCTTTTTTCAATAGGAAAAGACTGTGGGGTAGATAAAAAGTAATATAAGTGATCACAAAACTAAAATATTAGGTGAACAGAAATGACAAGTTACAGTGAAGTCACTTTCAAGCAACTGCATTGGTATCAGTTACTGGTATCTGTTAACTTTTACGATACTGGTATCGATATCTGTATCGGCACCGATACCGATACCATTATCGTATCGGTGCATCCCTAACCAGTATATCACCTCAGGCTAAGCAGTGGGAACACCATTATTGCGACAACAGACCCAATAACTGTCATTCTGGAAGCATCATCGAACAGTGAAGAACACGTGAAAAACGTGAATTTTAACAAAAAAAATTCTTAATCTAGAAAAAAGATGTCAATACAAAAAATAAGCATCACCTAACAAAATAGAAACTCACTTTTCTTTGTTTTAACCAAAAACACGGTCAAAACCTATGTTGGTCCGCGCTTCCATTATCCTTCTAGAATCTTCTAGTTTCAACACACAAAAAAACCCTGCCTTAACCGGAAATGATACTTTCAAAATAAAACCACATGATTCAGAATAATAGTACTCAAACTGATATTAACTTTATTTATTAAGAGAGTTAAAGTTCTAATATAAAACAAATCCTCACAAAAATATAACTTAAACAATTCTTATTTATGGCTGCAATAGCCATAGTCTGGTAATGAGGCTCAGCTACGCCATGTGGATGTGTGTGTTCATGAGTGTGTGAAATATTAAACAGAAAGGCCTTTAGCCATACATGATGCACACACACTAACACAAAACAGGTCAGGAAACTTACATCTGCAGCCTTGTTGAGTATTTCAGCAGCTTCGTCATATTCTGGCTTCATTTTCTTGCAGTGGCCACACCCTGAAACAGTCAAAACACAACTCACAGCCTGACCAGTGATGCACTGTTGAAACTGGGTTCATTACCAGTATGTACATAGTGGCAGGTTGGCTTGGATGGATTTTTACCCATAGTAAAGGAAATAATCATATCCCACTCACTGATGCTTAGTGAGAAAATCAGAGCCAACAAGAGTAGATTTAAACATGACCTCATGTCTCACAGAACATGCTAAAGAAGATGTAGTCATATCCTCTGGACCCCTTAACTTTTCTTAAACAACTTTTGGAAAGTGAACAATTCCATCTCTGCCCAGAACTACGTGCCTGCAGCTGTCAAGTTGAATCAGTCTGACGACAGCTGTAATTCTCTGGAGGTTTGCTGCAGCACTCTTGATTCTCGGTGCTGGCATGTTGAGGGTGAAAAACGAAATGAGACAACACGAGTCTCCGATGTTTGTGAGGAGAGTTAAGTCATGTCTGATTACTTACAATCTTCCACTGACATATGCTCGTGTCAGAGTAAAGATGGCACAAACAAACTGAATGAGACTCGGCATCAGATTGTGTCAGAAAATGAAAAACACCAGGTGGTGATTTAGATTCGACGGACAAATTCAGATATATTTAATTTATGGGAGGCTATGGACATCTAAAAGGGGCTGATGTCAGTCATGGCAGAGAGAAGCAGGACAGAAATCTGAGGGGTCTGTTTGATCAAGTAGTTTGACAAGAAAAAGCAGCTTCACTATTTGCCACTCAGAGTCATAGGGTGGGACCACAGGGTAGTCAAGCTCAAGACATCAGTGTTGGTTTTGTGGGCACTCAGGAGACATTACTGCAGAATAAAACACGGAGGCACACATTCAGCCCCACTCCCAACACACTGATGAAGCAAGTGTTGGCGCGGTTATGCAGATACACTGGTCTCCAGTGACTCATTCAGGAAACGACATCCTTTCACAGTTCAAGCAGGTCCGAAGTCAGACTGGAACAAGTTTACGTTTCTGATGTTTAGCCAGCGTGAAAGTATGTTCAGATGTGACTTTGGGAGTTAGAAGCTCTTTTAAATTTCAAAATGCATTTAGTCTGAGCCAAAAAAGCGGTCAAATAAAGCATGAAAATGAAAGCAGTGTAGCTTTCACAGTAACTAAAACATACTTTGTCACTTTAGAATTGGGCTGGACGAGGAACTATAGAAATATAGATTTCAAAATGAGCTGTTTTCGATGGGACATCTGAGAACTGAGATGGAAACTGTGATATAAAGAACAGATGAACATTCAGTAATATTAAGTGGCTGGAACAGAGCAACACGGCAGCCATGAACAATGCTAATGGCTAATGTTTGTGTAGCTGTGGCCCCTAACAGGTAGGGCATGACTGGTAAAAATAGAATAGGGGAAAGAAAAAGACACATTGAATGACATCACTGACAATAAGGCCCAGTCCCAATACTCACACTTCCACCCTTGTGCCCTCCAACTGTGCCACACCTATACAAGTGCTTAGGGTGTCGAGATTCTCAAGTGCGGAAGGTGACCAAGCCCCTTTTGCACCCTTGATCCGCACTTTGCCCAAGTCTGCATAGATGCGGACTTCGGGCAAGGATATAACCCACAATCCATTGCTGAATGGCACTTTTAAGAAGGCAGAGCAATGGCTCAAGTACCCTTTCTGAAAAATATGATTTTTCAAATTAAAGAAGTTCATTTTAGGAAGAATGATGATATTTATTTATACTCTGAATGTTTTAGACTAAGATTTAAGGTGGACAGCAATAAATGTAATTTTTGACAAATAATTAAAATAATTAAATAGTTAATTTACAAAGATTTTTTTAAAAGCAGCAAAAACAACGACCAGTATCCCGGCATTCATTGCAGTCGATGATGCAATGCTCCCCGTTCCAATTCCGCACACTTGTATATTCCGCACTTAAACCGCATTGCTCACTTCCTCCCGGTGAATGTGCTACTGCTAGTTTACCCGTTTAATTATAGATTCACTAGGATGAATCCAATAAAGTGTATCTCTCGCTAAATAGAATATTTACTAAGAAATCACAATGTAGCCATAGACACATTGCTAGGTGTGTGTGTGTGTGTGCGCGTGCGTGCGCGTGGATGTGTGTGTGTGTGTGTGTGGATGTGTCTGTATGTATGCGTGTGTGTGTGCGGGCATGTGTTTATGAGTGTATGTGTCCGTGTGCGTGTGTGTGTGTGTGTGTGTGTGTCTGCTCTGTCTTCTCGATCCCCAGTGAGTTGTGGTGGATGGCTGCTTATACTGAGCCAGGATCCTCTGGAGGTTTCTTCCTGTTAAAAGGGAGTTTTCCTCTCCACTGTCGCTATATGCTTGCTTAGTATGAGGATTGCTGGGTTCCTTATATAGGAAACATTTTTTCTGATTGGCTTAATGAACTGACCTGGATTGGAATGTTTATTATGTGAAGTGTCTTGAGACGACTCTTGTCGTGACTTGGCGCTATATAAATAAACTTGAAGTGAATTGAAGTGCACTTCACAGAAGACCGTAGAGTGCAGTGCGAGTATTTGGATTGGGCCTAAGAGACAGAACAGTTGACGGGCAGACGTAGTTTGGCTAGTTAACATCTCAGCTGTGCCACAAAGGACGCTGAGTGCAGATTCTGACAAATACAGGGAAAACCACCGATCCGTTTGAGCTTCTGAACCAGTTCCATGCACTGGAGCAAGAGGATGTGAAACTTTACAGCTGACTGCCAAGATGGAGAATGTTTCGCTGCCGTGCTTCGTCCATGAGAGCCGGGTGGGGGAGCGTGCCAATGTTTCGTGTCTGCACTCTTGTGGCGCAGCGCCATGCCTGAGCCTATGTTGGGGAAACACTGAGCTCACAGCTGCTGTCAGCATGGTGGTGGAGGGCTGATGGTTTGGCCCACAGGACCTGGGCCCATTACCGAGTCCACCATGAACTCCTCTTTAGACTGAAGTATTCTAGAGTCTAATGTGGGTCCATCTGACAATGGGTCACTGGACCAGACTGGATCAAAAACAGGACAATGACCCTAAACAAAGCAACGGATCTGCACCAAAACATCTAAAAACTATGGGAGTACAGTTTCTAAATGATCCAGTCAAATCCAGACCTGTGCACATATAAAATATGCTCAAGTGGGATTTTAGAGAGCTAATGAAAACCAGCTCAGTGGCCTAGTGGTTTGAGTGTCCACCCTGGGACTGGGAGATCATGGGTTCAAATCCACAGTCGGGTCATACCAAAGACTTTAAAAATTGAAACCCAATGCCTCCTTGCTTGACTTTCAGCATTAAGGGGCTGGGTTGGGGGCTAAACCACCAAACAGGTCCCGAGGGTAGCCACTGCTACAGCTCACCACTCCCTACGGAATGGGTCAGATGCACTTTCACAAGTGTGTGATGATGACTAATAGGACGTTAAATGTCTACAAACCCCAATGAACTAAAGCAACATTTTAAAAATCGGAATCATTTTTTCAACAGTTAAAGATCAAATGACTTTTATTGTGATAGGATACGTAAAACTCCAAAATTCAAAGGGGGTGGAGGTTCTGTTTGCCATGAATGTATATACCAGTATTTGATAAAGATGAGTCCACAACACTGCTGTGAAGAGATTCATGAATCAAGCTTGGTTCATTTCCAAACCTGTTAAATTGTCCTTGTCATATCAGTTCAGCAACCCCTTTCTTCAGAGCACAATGCAGAGCTGCTGCTGGCTATAAATCAAGTGTAATACGTCTCGTGTGTGAGTGTGTGTGGCGTGTCTCTTAACTAACCCAGAGACCGTGTGGGTTGTGTGAAACAAAGTCAGTAAGAGGACTTTTCCCACTCAAAAGTGATGAGTGAGAGAGAAACCCAAATGCCCGTTGTGCTCTCTTTGTGAGCTCCACTCTGCATGTGAAGCAAGTGGTGCACGAGCAGCAGGGCCAGTGCATATGGAGGAGAAAAGGGAGGCTGACAGGACAGCACTAAGATCCTGCTGATTCAGCCTGTATGTGAGGAGAAAAGACCAGATAGCTACACGTCACCACAGCTGTAATAACAGCTAAAAATAGAAAAGGTGAACTGACCCTGCTGGTTAATGATGTCAGAGTTTCATCAAATATTTACATGGTAACAAGCCGGAGGGGGTGAGAACGGAGCAATCATGCCATCCGGATTTATCAGATGCAGCCAAAACACAATTATATGTAAATAACAGCATCGTTATCTTCAGCAGTTTGCGCTAAAACAACATTCTTACCGTACCATATTTATTTATAAAGCACCATTTCAAAATAGCATGGCAGCTAACCCAAGTGCTGTACATAAACAAGCCAAATGCTTGAACAAGAAACACAATAAGAACAGGCAAAATACATAAGAACAAAGCACAAATAGTCGGAGATTAGGGCTGCACGATATTCGGAAAACCTGCGATATTCGGTAACAATCATTAATATTGCGATGACGATATTACTTGCGATAAATAAAAACTTAACTCAGGAACAAAAATAATCAAAAACAAAAATAAAAAAATCATAAAAGTGAGAAAAGCAAACGATGTGACGAAAGAGAAAAAGAAAACAAGAAAAGGCAATCAGTGGATCCCAGGAAAAGCAGAATCAGCATAAAGAGCAGAACAAAGCTAACTCAGGCATTTGCTAACTATCAAAATGAAGTGCCGTCCGCCTCAGGAGCGGGCATCTAACCTATGAGAACCCACCTGATTGGCCAAATGGGTGAAGAGCTCTATTTGATTAGTTAAAAAAACATCATGCTTGTGTTTGATGGACAGAATGCATCATGTGTAGCAAACATTTGAGCTGACCATTCATTGCGATATTTATCTGTTCATTGCGATATGCATATCGTGCATGCTGATATCACGATAACGATATATTTACAATATATTGTGCAGCCCTATCGGAGATAAAAATTCCTACTGAAAACAATAAAATAGGAGAACAGTTAACAGCACTATAAAAAATAAAATAACGCAACGAACTATAAAAACATTTGAAATGGCACAAATAAAACAAAATAAGCTACCAGATGGTGCGAGGTGCCAAAAGTGTGCAACTGAATCATAAAAACGGAACTAAAAAATATATCCGGGGTTAGACTTTCATGAAAAGTGTCACGGAGGGAAGGCATCACTAAAGAAGTGCGTTTTCAGGCCGACTTGAAACTGCTAACAGAGGGAGCCAGACGCACACGGAGGGGCAGAGAGTTCCAGGGTATTGGGGCTGCATAAGAGAAGCCCCCCTCCCCGATTTGTACCAAACCTTCGGAGCAACAAGCAGCAGATGATCTGCTGACCGAAGGGCACGGGTGGGAACATACGGGGTCAGCAGGTCCGTCAGATAGGATGTAAATAACAGCATCGTTATCTTCAGCAGTTTGCGCTGAAACGAAATTCTTGCCTCATGAAGCTGCCGTGCTTCTAAAAAGACACAGAGAACCTTTTGTTTTGGTCGAGGACACAATCACCCGGACTCAATCTGGGAAGCAGGGCATTCATTTGGAGGGTTTTCCACCGTAAGAAGCTGCACGCACACCTTCCCTGCTGTGCAGCTCAGAGGACAGTGGGAACGGACAGACACGCAGGCTGATAGTGTTGGTTAGGAGAACATTAATCTCAATTTGACAGCAGAGCCATTAGGAAACTGCACCGAAGCAGCAAGACTGGGTATCTGTGTGTTGGCGCCTTCTTTAGAGACAGAGCCAGATACGGAGTGTAATTGTGTGCAAAAAATGTTTTGTCATTGTGTGAAATATGAGTTTGATAGGTCACAGAATAACAACGCCCATGTGAGCTGACCACATTTGATGAACTGGCCTTGACCTGAGCATGTTGGAGATGGGCTGCTGCTCGCCACGTGGCGAGAATGTGGACACCTAAATAATATATATATATATATATATATATATATATATATATATATATATATATATATATATATACACAAGAGAACTACACAGTGAGCTGCAGGCAGCAGCTTCAGCGAGAGGGTGCTCGCTGCAGAACAACAAAGGTGGAGCTGCACCAGAGTCAGCCCCGTCCATTCACACAAACTCAGCCTAGCCCACTGACTTCTTCTGTTTTTGTTTTTTCAACTTTATCGCAAACTAACCTGACGCATATAAATTACGGCTAGTTTACAGTCGTTAATGCTTTGTTCTATGCTCCAATTAAACAAGAAAAATATAACTTGCTACATGACAAAGCCTGAATATATCCCGAAATGAAAAGGTTTCTTTTAGCAAATATCTGCAAACAGCCGCTCCAACAAAAGTGGCGTATAACAGCATTTAATGCTGTCATGCGGGTTCTGGTGGTCCAGTGGCAAGATCGTCTGACTTAAGTTTTGCTTTCCCCTCAGCTGATGCTGGTTCGACTCTCGGTGGGTTCGGCAGCAATCTATTTAGCCAGCTGAAACAATTCATTTGTTTATATTTTAGTTGTAATGTTTATTTTCAGCAACATATTTATGTCTCTAAAAGATCTTTGAATTTGGTCGCTCCTAAACAGCATTTTAGTTGAAACTTTGCTCACAAATGGACTCACACTGGCTAAATAAATAAATAAATAAACACATTAGTCATTATATTGTAAACGGTATACCAATAAATTGTTGTAAACATAGTACTGGCAAGTGTAGCTAGAAAAGAAGAAAAAGGGTTTAAAACTACCCAATACTTACGCTACTGGGAGGCGAACCTGTGCAAAACTGCACGTGAAGCTGACTCCATAACCACTTCACTACTACATCTGATAAAAAGCAAGTGGCGTTACATGTAATTGTGCTATCCAGTGTGTTTTTGTAGATGGGATGTATGGTTTTTCCGCCGGTGTCTCAGTAGAAGTCATTTCAGAAATAATTTGTCAGAAAATTCACAGAATATCCAGATTTGAGAACCAAGACCAGTCCCGCTTCGGGGGGAGGAGACCAAATTGAAGCTGAGATGGGAGGAAAATGCATGAATGAGGCCAAAAATGGCTTTGGCGTGTTTCTTATGAGGAAATAACAATATAACATGATTAAAAGTTCCAAAAGTTAGATTTTTAATTATATGGAACCTTTACAAAAACTGTTCAATTAACCTCCCAACTCCATCCTCAATCTTGCATTTTAGATATTAGCTATAACACCCTCTTTGGTTCCAGAATGCTATCAAGTCTGACAACTGAAAGGAATTGGACTGACTCTGATGGAATGGGCGGGGCTGACTCTGGTGCAGCTCCGCCTTTGTGGTTCTGCAGCGAGCACCACTTGGCTTCAGCTGCATTTTCCTCCCCTTGCATGGTAAACTGGACGTGAACGCATGGGTATGCTGAAAATTGATTATTTAAAAAGTGGTAAATTCTGACTGATTGATCAGTGAGCTGCTAAATATGACATATCTGAGTGCTGACCTGGACTTTAATTTGCCACAGAAATTATTCTGATTCCTGGGAGGCTCACAATGCAGCAGAGAGAACCAAAAGATCCACAACGCATGCCCCGACAGGTCAGAGCTTTACCTGTGATGGGTGGGGGGGACCACCTAATCAGACACGTGGTTTCTTTCTAATGTCTCATCGTTTCCATTCAAAGCTTTGCAGTCATGCGGTTAATCGGTATTCCTTGTTTTCAACCATTTATTTAACAAAGAATCAAAGATGTAAAGTTGTTATTGTCAACGGGCAGCAGCTACTTTAAATTCTAGTTTATTGTTAAAAAAATAAGGAGGAAAAATTAGGAAGTAAATGTATTAATTGGGGTGGACGGTGGCTGTAAGAGACTTGTTATGGATGAGTTTTATCTATAATTAAATATAGTAAAAATAAATAAAACATGGAAAAATAAACAAACGTTTCTGTGGAGCAGATCAAAATTTACGAATAACAAAATATCAGGAGTAAATGGAATTAAAACTGTTTATTTTTACTATTATCACTACAGAGTTGGGTCTACAATGAGCAGAAAAGGAAGCAGATGGGAGGTGATGTAGTCAGAAATGGTTAAACCAAAAACTAGTTGAAGCATGATAAAGATTTTATTTTAAAATTGCATTCCTTAATTATAGTTATTTGTAGCTACGAGTGAAAACAATAAAAAAGGGCTACTTGTGATAGACGCGACACAATCTGGAAAAGGAAAAAACTGCCGAGTTGACAAAGTTCTGCGTAACAACAGAGGACGTGTCGGAATAAAAACATGGCGCGTGTGTAGAAATGACAAGGCGGATTATATGAGCCATATGGCTGTGTGTGTGTATGTGTGTGTGTGTGTGTTAGTGCAGTCACACTGGCTTTGTTTTTCAAAAATATGGGTTTGGTTGTTTTTGTGGACTTTTTCAGACACTCTGTTACTCACAAGGGGCGTAGAACATGATCAGGGCTGCAGGGTGTTTCTCCAGGAAGGCGTCGAAGGATTCATCGGTCAGGTGGAAGACTGCAGAGTCCGTCTCAGGCCACGGCACCTCAGGAGTCTTCGGCTGGGGGGGCTGGGGGCTGCAGCCAGAGGGGGACGGCAAAGAAAACAGAAATGAGAATGATCCATTAAGTCCAGCTGGTTTATGTAGTAAAGGAAAAATAAAATAAAACCAGGCACAAATGCAGATACCCCACCCTTTATTGCATGCACACATGGACACACACACACACCGCTAAAAGGAGCCCCACCTAAATGACAGCACACAGGGCTGCAGTGCCAAGAATATATCAACAATGTTGAAAACAAGAGCTTAATTCCTGACCATGTGTGCACACGTGCACGCGCGCGCGCACACACACAGACACACGCACACACACAGAGACAGACCAAAGATTGAAGCCACATGAGCCTGGAAGAGAAAAATTGTGAAACTTGGAGCTCTATGAATTCCCATCTGATTACATCATCAGCTCTGGCAGATTCAGGAATATTTGCACTCTAACAAAAATGCTATTTTATCTCATCAAATTGTAGCCAGATTAATATGCAGTACTGCTTAAATGCCATCTACAGCTATTTCTTTATAGATTCCAGCTCATTAGGTCTCTATAAGACAGGACAAGTAGACTTGAGCAAAGCCAATGTGGCTGCCTTTGCCTTCTGGCAGTGAGCGATAAAAATCATAAATGGAAAAAGTTGTTTTTGTTCATGTTGGATCAGTTCAGCGGTCCATACAAATTCGATCAAAAGGCTCTAAATGAGTCAATGCCCTCAGCATCACAGATGAAGAAGGCTCTAAAACCTGTAATCCTTTGAGTCAAACCTCGCGTAAACCAGCTGGTTAGTAGTGTTCACCAGGTGTAGACCAAACAAAAGGCAGAAAATACTCAAACGCTAAATGACTGAAAACAGCTGCAACAAAGACCTGGTGAAGTGAGCAACCTATTTGTGTAAAAACAAAAACACGAGTTCATGACTTGTCTAATGTCACCTAAAGCCGTTTCCTCTCTGTTCCACTGTAACTGACTTTATTGTACAGAACAGTTTAAAACATGTCAGGAGATGTTCTGATACGACGCAAAAACATCCAAATAAACTGGTTCAGACCAGTTTCTCACAACTGCTAAATAGTGATTTAGTCCAGTGATGAGTAGAGAAAGTAAAGTCGAGATGGCAATCACAAAAAAAAGAAAAAAAAAACACGAGGAAAACCTCAAGTCTCGAGAGACAAAGTTGGGTGAAAACGGGGAAGGCAAGATAAAAAATAAAAATGGCTACAGAAAGAGCACAAAAGCTTTTCAGCGGTTTATATAAAAAACCCTTTCAGCTTTTTCTCATCTGCAGCATCTCCACCATTTTTTTTCCTCCATGAAAAAAAAATAATCTGACACAATAAACTGGGAATATGAGGCTGACAGGAGGAAGAGCATCTGTGTTCAGGGCTTATAGAACACTAAGCAACAATCTAATTTTAGCAGAGAGAATAAAACAGAAACATGTTAAACCCACATTTGTCATAATGGTTTTTAGAAGATCTAGCATCAGCTCCTCTTTCAGGTACAACTGTTCTAACTGCCTCCAAGCCCCGTGGTGTTCCATGTAACAGAATGAAATGACTGTTTTCCCCCTCCTCTGACACAGGACTAGTCTGCATGAGATAAGGTCTCAAGGTCTCATGCATTTGCTTCTAACCTGCTTATTTTTAGCTCAACAGAAGAATGAAGAATGGACACGTTTATTTTAATAAATCAAAGAACTCTATTTTTAATGAAGCTAATCAAACCAAGTGTTAGTCAATAATAAGATGTAACCAATCTGTGAAATCAAAATATTAATTACTTTATTATAATCCTATAGAATATAATAAGTAATATGACTTTAAATGTTCCAACAGGACTGATCTCACGTAGCGTTGAAAGACATGACACATTGCTTTTACTGATCCAATCAGAATCTGACAGATCTGATGGAGGAGTGGTTTTGGTGGTGTTTGGTAAATCTGTCATCTTTTCATTCGACCATAAACCAAAACATCCGAAGTATTAAACTATGCCCACGTCATCTTTAACGCCAGTTCAAAGCGTTCCAGAGAAAGTGTCGGAGTGGCCAATCCGTAACTTTCCTCTTCAACCGAAAGAACAACGACAAGCCGGAAAATTTGTTGCTGTTCAAACTGCTGCAACGGGTCCTTTCAGAATAAAAGCTGAACCATCACGACCCAGGCTCGGATCTCACCAGACGTCAACAAACTGTCGTGACCCGGAAGTATCTCAAGACGGGTGGTCATTTGCCGTGGCTGCTCTACAGGCTCCGGCTCCATAAGTTCAAGCTGGACCTTTACACCTCCTGATCTAGACGGGGACTTCCGCTCAGGGTATGTAGACAGACAGAATGTCGTCGAATGTGTTTATGAGTCTGCTAACCAAAGCTTAACTAGAAGACATCACCTTCAGTTCCCATCAGAACTAATCGCTTCTTCGGATTTGCTGGTTCTGAGCAACATTCCACATTACACCATTCTCACCTTAGTTACACCATACATCTAGTGTTAAAGTTAGTCTAGTTTAATTTGTTAGTAAATAAAATTCTTAACTTTTAAACTTGACTCTCTCTTCTGTTGTCTCTGAGTGAATACGAAGCGGTTATCTAATCCCTGCAATATAAAGTTCTAATCTTCTGGTTTAAATAACCTCACAGATCCGTAAGGTGGATTTCATATTTCCTATGGAGTCCTACGCCTTATGGCTAATTAAATAACATGTAATTTAATTCATTACACCTACTTCTGGGTGTTAAAAGGCAGAAGAGTAAAATCTTAGGATATTTGTTTATGCCTCTGGGCTGAACAGACTGTAGGCGGAGTAAATCTGTAAAAGCTTCCCTCTGGATGTAGCCCTGTGGACAGCACCAGTCTCTCTTCCCTGCCAGACAGAGACGAGGAGCTCCACTCAGAGCGCGCGAGACAAGGTGTGAAAGAAAAATGAGATGAGAACAAAGCAGATGCGGATTGATGACATTGTGGTGCTGAGGTGAGTCAGACCGAGCCAAGGCAAGAAAAGGTGTGATGGAGAGCACAACGGGGGGAAGCGATGCCAGAAACCTGAGGAGCAAGCAGGTTATCTGTTGAGTTTGGAGCTGCAGCTCCGTTCTGGTTCTTTATTAGTCCAACCATTAAGAGCTGATGGAGCATATGGGAACTGATGTCTCCAAGGCTCCAGAACGCCTGAAGTCATCATTTTAACAAATCTTGTGTCACCTACTGGAAACTGTGGGTGGGAGGTGAGATTAGTGTCATACTCACTTCTTCAGCCAGTCTGCAATATCCTTGGCTGTAGCTCCATAGTTCTCATAGTGATGGAGGAACTTCCCCTTCCTAAAAGACACAAGGAGAATAAAGAGGATCCATTTAAACCAAAAGATTTACGATTTAGCTCTCGGTGCTAGCTCCATGCTGCTACATAGTGCAAATAAACTTCAGAGGTGGTCCAACTTTTCAAGAATAAGATTAAAATTATCAGGTTAAAAGTCCTCACAGGCCACAAAAATCAGATTTGTTAATGAAAAACAAATCCAACAATTGGTTCATGGTGATGTATTTATCTGTATTACTGCAAATTTAGATTTATTAGACATATTAGTGAAGCTCAGACCATAAAAATGTTAAAACAGCCTGCTGGAGAGACCAAATTCAACCTCTTCAGAAATACGATTGGGGTCGCACAAAATAACTGAGGGACACAAGTGGCCCTAGAGCCACACTTTGGACATGTCTGACCTACATGAGCAGCTATAATAATTAGCATTATAAATAAAGGGCAAGCTAAATGAATAAAACATGAAATGTTAGCCCTCTTTTCCTTTTCTAACAGCGTGTTGCACGACTCAGGGGAGTCGAGTCGAATCATGGAGGAAAATCAAACAACCCCTTTGCTTGAAACGCTCGCCCTAGCTCATTCTGACTGTTTATAATGCTGCTAGAATCGAGTGTGCTAAAACGAGACGTGCTCGTTCTGGAGGTGCCAACAGAGTTCTGCAAAATCTCCAGCAAACCAAAATAAACTGGCTTCCAGTGATCTTTCAAACCCATTTCTCAGTGACACCAGTTGTCTTTGCAAATAAGGATTTACAATAATTCTATCAAACTAAGAAACAGCTTGTTTCTGTTCCTGTTGTGAGTCATTTAGGTTGTTGCATACAGGTAGACAGGAACCCGGGAGCAGACACGGACCAGAAATTCACCGTTCAGACTTCTCCTCCGTCACTTTTTAAATTCTGCATCAAGCCCGTCTGGTGGCTTGTTTGACACACATCCTGGCTCTTTGGCAGAGAGGTTTTGACATTGATGAACAGCTACTGAAAAAATGCAACACTCAACCTGAAGGGAAAAAAATGTTTTGGGGCATAAAACCCCAAAAAGTCTCAGTTGGGTGACATATGATGATTTACACAGTTTGAAAAGTGATGGCTTGGCTATATACATCAGCCAGTTTTCATAAACCAATAACAGTTTTTTTTTATCTTCTCCTGCAGAACCAGCTCTGAAGAAACCCAATAACCCATGCTGCATGAAGAGAAAGGCCCAGACTCAGAACAACACAACCGATTAGGTTCTGTTTAAACTTCTCAGCCTCGGGGTTAAAAAAGATTCAAATTGTCTTCATAAGAATTAGTTCTTCTATTCTCTGGGACTAAATAAAAGCTGGACCTAGTGGCTCCTCCCAGACACAGAGAGATCTTTGCCAGCAGTTACACATCTACACAGAATCATCACAGATGGTGACGGCTGCAGTCAGAGTTCCTGAGACTCATTACAGAAGATTAAAGGTGATGCATACGCGGCGCACACGCCAGACTTAAACATGACTGACTTCCACATAAGAGATCGGCTGCTGGGAGTCTAATTGGTGAGATTTATGAGCAACTATGGTGTCTCTGCAGCTGTAAAGTACAACAAAACCTCAGGAAATCATGCCGGTGAAATTCTGAGACAATTTCCTCGCTGGCAGTCTCTGGAGTTTCTCTTTGTTGAAGGACAAAGCGAGGATAAAGAAGTTGAAACAGATTCATTTATTCTGATTGTTAAGTTGAGCTGAAGTATTCTGTGGTACGCATTATTAAGCTGCAGGAGTGAAAACATAAAAGACCTTGAAAAGTTGGACTTAAAGCGGGTGCAGTGGTGAGATAACTAAAGGTATTGATGCTGATTTACCCTGCAGTGATTAGCTGCTGTTTATCAGTGAGGGCTTCATTACTGCAGCCAATAGGCTAGTGTGGTCATTAGCTAGCCTTTTGCTGACACTAATGCACTTCCATTGGCTCTAGCTCAGCTGCACACAAGTGCACGGGGATGCACGTGCACCCGCTCATGCACAGTGCACACACAAAGCTAGGGGTGCAGGTGTACAGGAACAGGGAGGGAGCACACACAATTCCTAAATCACAGAGGCACTTAATCAGTCCCGGCCTAATTAAAAGGCCAGACTGGAATGAAAGAGTATTTAATGTGGAAATAGGGTTGATAAAACGAGAGTGCACAGGAAATAAGAAACAGAGAACGCTGGTCTCTCTGTGATCTAATGGTTAGGAAGTATTAAAGTTACTTACTACATTACTGTAATGCTTGACCTTCAACTGTCCTTTTGCTGTGAAGACCCCCCCCCCAAATACCTGCCACCTACAGTGCCATAAAGCAAAGTTCCTATAGGAACTGGGGGTAAAGCTGTGGTGCACCACAGTAAATGCTGAGATGCTCCAAAAGAGAACACGGCTGTAATAACCAAGCTCAAATACCAGTCACACCATTCGTACACCATCGCTAACTTTGTAGACTAAATATTTTTGTTTCTTTTATCGTGATGATTCAACTTTTGCAGACTAAAGCGAGACAAAAACTAAAGCATACACTTCTATAAAGATTTAATCATGACGAATATTGATCAACATTTTTTTCAACAAATAAAAGACAACAAACATTGACAGAAAATCCAATCACAAAATGAAAAGATGGGCAAACTGGTGTGTGAGATGTGTGATGCCCTCAGCGTGACCAACATCTACGTATGATGTCACTAGGGATGCAACGATACCAGTATCCATGCATCCCTACATGTCACACTACAGCGTCGCCACTCAGACAAACAACACTACTCCCCATGTTTTGAACAGCTAAGCACTAAAATCAATATCAGACTAACAATAAAAAACTCTCAAAACCGTTGTTTGTTTGTAAGTGTTGCATTTATGTGTTCTTATGTTGTCTGTATGCTTGCTATTTGTTCAATAAAGTTGTTTCATTAAGCGCTTAATGTCCAGCCACTCACGTGATGTGATGTCATTGGCAGGTGCAGGTCCCCATGCAGCTTTGACACCTTGAGCATATCTGGTACCTTCCCCAGCAAGAAGTCCCAACACTGATACAAACATGGCCACCAGGTGGTGATAATGTACCAAGTAGTAACCTAATAAACTTCATGCTTTTCCAGGCGGGGCATCATTTTTCACAACACGTGACAGCAGTTTAGACAACACCCTGTCAGTTGAGCTAATATGTTTATGTTTATTCACTTAGCAGATGCTTTTATCCAAAGCGACTTACTAATGTATAACCTATAGGGCATGTTGTAATCTGTGGGGAAAACCGGAGTACCCAGAGGAAACCCACGCATGCATGGGGAGAACACGCAACTCCACGCAGAAAGGCTGCAGCCGAGTTTCGAACCTGCAACCTTCGTGCTGCGAGGCAACAGTGCTAACAACTCCGCCACCATGCAGCCCAATAATAGTTCTGTGCTGTTATTTAGAGCTAGTCTTTTTTCTATACAAATATTCAAGTTACATGTGTGGAATAAAACATAATAATTATCCCCAAATTCAAACAGTAGTTCCACTCTGAGTATTAGAAACATGCTCTGGCAGCTTTTGGGTGTTTTGGACAAAAGACTGGTTGTTGGGACAAAACTTTCAGCTGGCCCTTCTTGGCAGGGTTGTGCGTTAACATTTGTAGCTTACGAAGGTCGTAGGTTTTGTAGCACAGAACAAAATGTTGTAGCACCAGCATAAAACATTTGTTACAATCTCTAAAAACCAAAAATAGTTCTTACAATTACTTAAACACACTGACAAACACCAGTGCATATAGTTAAAACCCAATAACAACCACCAAAGAAACTTCCTGGTAAAGTGAGTCTCACTCACGTACTTGACAATAAAGTTAGTTCTGAAATATCTTCAGATATATTAGTGTAGATTTGTTCATTACAGAGGTCAGTCCTCAATGGCATAGACAGAGTAGACACCACGCCGAAACTACTGTGTATGATAGTCGCATTTTCGTGTTCTACTTTTTATAAACTGTATGGTTAACAGGAGGTTTTAGCTAAGGCTTTTGCTCCGTGGAGATATGTGGAGCTCTCAATCTGTGAAAGCGCCAATCATAAACCCGTTCACACACGCCAGAATGACAGCTCCTTTTATTATTCATCAGGCAAAAATGTGTGCGAGTTTGGTTTTCACACAAACCCTAAAATAGCCCCCCCATTCAAAAATAAGTGCTTTCTTGGTGTGAAAATGCATCTTTAGAATTCACAGACATCATATGTGAAATCTATGACACATAACAAGCGGGATTAGAAAATAGCGTTTTTGCTCCATTTATCCGGAAGTAGATGGGATGGATTAGCTAATCTGCCTGGAGTTACACTTTCCATCCCAAACTTTGGACCGTTTCTGCCTTTGTATCTTTGCTGGTTTCTTTGTTTTCCTCCACAGCACCTAGATTGGCACATTGTGTGCCAACAAAAGGCATTCCTTACACAATAAGCAACTTACCTTGGTTCAATAAAGTTCTGGAAGAAAAAAAGGAACTAAAAAAGATGTTGTGCGAATGCTCCGGCTAAAAATAGTTCATCGCACAGAGAGATTTTTTGTGGCACTGTACAGCCCTGCTTGGGACAGTCCATTAAGGTTCTGCAGGTTAAGGCTACGACACTGACTGACTCACAGCTGCACTGGCCTCGACTCGGCTCTGCGAGTTTACATTCCAGATAAAAAGTCTTAAAAGTTTCTGTACAAGTTTAGCACCATTTAACAGATGCAACATTACTTCTTAAGAGACACATTTGCAAGCTGTAAGTCTCTTACGTTCATGTTTAGGAGATCTATGCAAGATTTTCTATTTGAAGAAGCTTTTCTCTGATGTTCTGAGCCTCTAAGCCTAAAATGAGACTGATGAGATGACTCAACTTACTCAAAGTAGCAGAAGGTGGGGTAGCCTTTGACGTTGAACTCTTGCTTTAGGCCATCAAAGTCAGCTGGGTGCACATTCATCCCTGCCAATATCTTAAAAGACAAAAAGAAAAGGGGGTGTGGGTTGTCAGAGAGGTGATGAAAAGGGACAGAAGAGAGATGAGATGTCAAAGATCAAAACTGGTTAACCACCATCAGGTGGCTACAAAGCTAAGGAGTATAGGGGATACTGCACCAACACTGCATAATAACGTTCTATTGACATTTTTAACTAAAATGAAGAACACAGCATTCCTTGAATGTGCACAGCGCCAACAGCATTTCAAATCAGAGCATGATCACATATAAACTGTTGGTCCTAGGAGAATGTGTGGCTGTCGGGCCGGGCTTCGGGACAACGACTGTAATTACCTCGGACACGGGCCGTGTGCCTTTATTTTTAATCGAATTCATAAAAAAAATTGAAACACAGCAGCAGTAGAGCCCTGGGCGGGACTGTTTTCTTCATCCCACTCCTGCCCGCTCCCGCTGAATTTCTGACCATTAACGCCCGCAACCGCAACATGTGTGTTACACTCCCGCCCGCAACCGCAAAACTCGGAGAAATTATAACCTCACAATAAAAGAGATGTATTGAGTTTGCGTCCTCAACATGTCATTTTATAGGCTATACCAGGGGTTGGCAACCCGCGGCTCTTCCATCCATCTGATGCGGCTCTCTGTGCTTGTAAAATAATGAATGGATATTTAAATAAAACACTTTATATTTTACTGAATTAATTTTATATCTGTAAGTCAATTCTATGTAAAGATTGACTGCGTAAACCTGAACAGGTCCAACCCGGTCTTACTGTGAGACCGGGTTGACGGGTCACGCTTGTGCGTAATCATAGGTGCTTCCTGAGCGGAAGAGGATGTGAGATTCTGGGCTTCTCCTCAGACGGCTCCTGGATGCGTTGCCACATTGGAGACAAGAACAAGCACTATTCAGCCAATGTTTCATAATAAGGTAACATTTTTTAAGTGACAAGTCTCTCTGAGAGACAGGGTTTGGAAAACACTCGCTTCAGTGGGAGGAACCTTCCCGCATGAGCTCTGGTTCTGCGACGCGCTCCAAGCCCCTCTCCACATCTTCAGCTCGCTGTGCACATATGCGCTGACAGCGAGCTGCGCTGAGCAGCTCAGATGTTCAGATGGGAATCTTTTCTCAGGTGATTTAGCTACATCTGCGATGTGTGTAACGAATAAAATGTCAGTTCGTCTGCATGCGTCGGGGTAATTCTTTCTATTCTTTCTCCGTCAAAATAAACTGTCAAATACGGGAAATGTCCGGTCAACACAAGCCCTGCTTTTGACTGTTTAGTTTTCTTGTGAAAATTGTTGGAAAGAGATCAAATTTTACTTGATTACCACCAGAGCCAGTGCGCCGTTATCTCCGTGACAGTAAACGAGGGAAAAACAAATTGATCGGATCATGCACGTCTTTTAACACGTTGGTCAGGATTGACGCACTTTGTTTTCATTTAGTTGGTTAAAAAAAAGTCGGGCTCGGGTCGGGCCAGAGAATCCTGAAAACCTTTTCGAACCAGGTCGGGCTGGGGCTCCACACCCTCGGGCCGGGCCGGACACGGGCTCAGATTTTAGGCCCGTGCAGGGCTCTAGTTAAGAGTGTTGGTTCTCGACTAGAGAACTTGCAAGTATTGGCACAGCTCCAAACAAAACTTGATTATTTGGAGCCAGACCTTAAACAGGAATTAATGGATTTGATAAAAGCTCACCTGACCCTATTTTCTGACATTCCTTCTAGAACCCCTCTCATTGAACATGATGTTGTTACCACCGGAGCCAAGCCTATTAAACAACATCCGTATTGTACAAATCCCTTAGAAAGAAAAATGATGAAACAAGAAACAGACTATTTGATTAGACATGGATTAGCCATTCCCAGTCATAGTCCGTGGAGCTCTCCCTGTTTGGTAGAACAGAAACCAGATGGCACACCGTGTTTCATCACTGATTACAGGAAATGAAATGCTGTAACTTTCCCTGATGCCTACACGTTACCCAGAGTTGATGACTGTGTTGATAGTGTGGGTAATTCTAGATTTGTTACAAAAATAGATTTGTTAAAAGGCTACTGGCACGTACCTTTAACTAAAGCTGCTTCGGAGACTTCAGCTTTTGTAACCCCTGATGAGTTTTTAGAATACGCCATTCGGTATGAGAAATGCCCCTGCTACCTTCCAACTGTTAATAAACACAGTAATCTCAGGTATGGAGCATTGCAATGCCTATTTAGATGATACTGTTGTACATACATCATCCTGGGACGAGCATTTAACTGCCTTAAAAGAGCTGTTTCGCCAATTAGTCTATGCTAATCTTACAATAAATCTGGCTAAGACAGATTTCGTGAAGGCTACAGTAATCTACCTCAGGAAGTAAGTTGTACATGGCTCTGTCTGTATGCTGAAGGACAAAATACTAGCCATAACTGAGTTCCCTGCGCCAACAACTCACAGAGAACTGAGACGCTTTATAGGAATGGTGGCATATTACAGGTGTTTTTGCAAAAACTTCGCAGTGGTTGCTTCCCCTTTAACTGATTTGTTGGGTGCACAGGTTCCTTTCAACTGGACCGCAACAGCACACGGAGCCGTTGAAAACTGCAAATTGCTGTTAAGCACGGCTCCCGTCTTACAAGCGCCTGACCTTGCCCGACCCTTCAAGCTGGAAATAGACACCAGTGATGTTGGAATGGGAGCAGTTCTAATCCATGAAGATGATGCCGCCTTGCACCATCCTGTCTCCTATTATTCCAAGAAGTTTGCTAAGTACCAGTTACATTATTCTACTGTTGAGAAGGAAACCTTAGCTCTGGTACTAGCTATTCAGCATTTTGAAGTTTATCTTTATCCCGGAAGCAAACCCATACTTGTATTCACCGATCACAACCCCCTGGTCTTCCTATCATGGATGTATAACAAAAATCAAAGGCTGATGAGATGGGCACTACTTGTGCAAGATTATGACTTACACATCTAACACAAACATGGCAAAGACAACATAGTAGCTAATTGCATATCTCATGCTTTTAAGTGACTTAATCCCAGTTATAGTTGGACTTTGGGTTCTTTGAGGTGATGGTCAGAACTTGAGAGTATAGCTTTAAATTATGCGCAGTGTGATTCCCTGGTAGCCTTTAGAGGTATATCCCCTCGGGGTATACCTTGTGTTTTTTTGTTAGTGTTGGGGTTATGAAGGTTAGTGTTAGTGTGGACATGCACCATCTTGGAAGCACCTCAGGGAGTGAGGAGATAAGCTCTGGCAAAGAGCCTTTTTTTCTCGCTGGGTGATTTGTGCTTAATCTGCCCACCTTTACGCCTCATGAAGATCAGTACAGTTAGCCAGCTTTGCTAGGCAGATAGCAGGTATCACATTGTACAGCTCCCTGCTCAATACTTAGGGCGGAGAACGGAGAGATGAATCTGTCGCCTCAAATCTGAACTCAAGCGGTTCTATTTATTTCTTTAGTTCAAAAGAAGCAACTCATGGTATTCATTGATGTAAAGCGTGTCTTCTTTTTTTGTAGGAGGGAGGTGTCACGACCTCTGTATTCCTGAGCTCTGTTCAAGCTGTTTTGATACAGGACCTTGGACAACGCCCCCAGCTCCTGCCCATCTTGGAACTAGAGGATCAGCACCATGGAGAGAGGCACGCTGAGACGCACCCTTTCCCGTCTGCCAGCAGACACCAACTGCGAATAATTGTCACTCACCTGATGCCTCAAAAGGAGGGAGCTGCAAGAGAGCTAGAGAGAAGGGAGAAAAAAAGCACCGAGAGATAGACACACAGAAAGAGAGACGGAGGGGAGAACGAGACACGTCGAACCACTCTGCACTGCGACCTGTTCTGGAGAAGAAACTGCCTACTGAAAACTTCCAGAGAGAGAAAAAGGGAGAGCATGAGACGACTGCTCCTTATTAAGTGACACAGGACCGGAAGGAGGGAAACTTACCCATGGGATGGGTATTGTATGTGTGAGTGGACCTGCCCAGACATAGAGACCTATACTTACTACCCTAGAAAGAGTCGAACCTCTGGCCTTTTATATCTTTTCCGTTGTTCCTTACTGAATACTGCCGGAGACACCTTCCGTTAATAAACTCATTAAAAATGTCTTCCATCCTCGTGTTTGCCCTCACCACACTTGTGTTTCTCCTCCTGGTAATTCCTAGGCCAGGAGGGGTGTAACACAACCCCAGACATCCAATATGGTACACACTGCTATCTTTGCTGACTGTTTTATTGTCCACGTGCACTTTCTCTCTCTTTTTTTTTTTTTTTTTTTTTTTTTACATATGCATCAGTATCAGCTGGCTCCGAGTTCTGGTCAGAGTTGCTGCATTGATCTGAGCAGGGTTTGCTTTTAAGGTGTCAGACTAGAAAACGAATGCAGACAGGTGATTCGATGTGGCGACCACTGAAGGGAAAACCAAAAAAAAAAAAAAGCTTTTTTTTTTTTTAAAAGCTGATTCATAATGTGTCGGCATCAGCTCTGTTATTTTTCTCTACGTGAAATACCCAACACACACACATTACCTGTGGCTGTTGCACTGCCTTTGCTGCTCGGTCTAATATACGTTCAGAATGCAGACGTTTAACTCTCTTCAGGTAACACGTTAGCCACGCATTAGCCTGCTAGCTAACAGCTACACGTTATGCTGTCTGAATTCTCGGCCTGCTCCCGTGACGATTACAGTGTTGTCTGTACAACAATGAATATTTATGTAGTGAAACTTGTTGAAAGTGAAAGTGAACCATTGTTATTGCGTTTCTCCGTCTCAGGATGAGTTTAAATTGTCATTCTTGTTGTTTTATAGGGTTATGATCGTTCTGTTCCACTTAATTCTGATTATTTGAAAATCACTGGAATGGATTATGCGTCGTTACACAGTGTTACAACCCCTGCTACTGGAAGAAAACGAAGAACCCATCCTCTTAGGGGACTGCTGTGCCAGTGCAACCAGCTGATTGGCTGCTTCAGATGTTTCTGCCGACGCCATTCTGCTTTATTATTGGTGTAGCTGTGTGCAGCCTGGATTTTATGAGTGGCTGCACCTGTGCAGCCAAAGAGGCTGCTAAGTGCAAGTTGGAGGGACTCAGGAGGATCAGGAGTTGAGGCTGATCAGAGGGAGCACCTTTGGTAGCTCTTGCCTGTGTGGCATTTTTGTTGAGGTCTTTTAGAGACTTGGTTTTAATAAAAATATATATACTCTTAAATATTAACCTTGTGTCCTGACCTCCTCCTTTTGTTGCAGTCCCACGAGCCGGGCTGTAAAACACAGTATGCACCATATATGTACTTTTACACTGTATATTAAAGTGTAATAACGACAAAAATCCAAAACTCCACTGTTTGCTAAAGCTTGGACCGAATAAAACTTTTAGGCCATAGAGGTTTTTTTAGGAAAAGGTGAGCATAGTGTTGGTTCATGAATAAAATGATGCCAATAAAACATTTATTCTGAGAGTTGAAACAGACCTACAGCTATAACTGAAACAGCTCCAGTTACAAACCTTCCCAAAGTTAACTAAGCACAAGACATCTAATGTTATTTCCATGTCATAAATTCAGTAAAATATTCTTTAAATATGGGAAGTTGAGGAACGTTGCAGAAACCTGCAGAGTAATTAATGCAGAAGTTTCAGTGTTTTAGGATGATCTTTTTACAATAGTTGTAAAGAAAGGAAACAACTCAACTAAATTTCTTGTACAAATTTTTTTTACTTTCTTTCATCCTGACAAAATAACACATCAGACATGTACGTTTTATTTAGTCCTTGTTTTGTGAACTTCTCAACTAGCCTGAGCACCAATTTGGTTTCACTTCTCCGCAGCAACAGTGTCTCTAACAGTAATGGAGACAGACAGTTGTGTGTGTGTGTGTGTGTGTGTGTGTGTGTGTGTGTGTGTGTGTGCCCATTAACAACCCTGATTACACATACACCACTCATCAGCACCCTCCTTGATAAATAGAACATATACACAGTTCTTTTTTTAATTCTTAACGTTTTTCTTAGTTTCTCCTCCTAATGACAGACAGAAGCTTTATGAGCGCAGAGCTTTGATTTCCCGTGTGAATCGTTAGGGCCTCTCAGGGCACGTCGCTTCGGTGCAGCAGAAAACAAATGCAGACGGTTCTCCACCCACTCCACCGCAGGAGGGTGAAGAAAGTTAGAAAGTAAACAACAAATGAGCCTGTTAAGGTGACATTTAATCTTTACACATCTTGTAACCTTCAGCTAGAGGGACTTTAGTCTCTACTGTAATTGCTGACGAAGGTGGCAGCTAGAAACACAATCGATATTATTTGCCCAACTATACGACCATATACCTGTACCACACCGCAAGGCACTAAACCCATTAAAAATAACATTGTTTTGACTGATGAGGCTCCAAACTGTTTCTTTAACGCTCGCCTGGATTTTTCTAGAAAATCTAAAACTCATGGAGCAAATTTAAAGATTAACTTTGTCGGAGATCAAACAGATGTGTCATTTAGTTGCTGGTGGTTTCAATGTTTGCCAACCATCCAGAGATGTAATGACACAGTTGAAGTAATAAAAAAAAGGAGGAGAGAGATGGCATTGGCTGTAACAGCCAACAAGACTTACATATTTTCCTTTTGTTTCTGTAGCCGCCTGCTGAAAAATGGGCTGCATTCTCTTGCAAACCCCGCACCCTGCAACAGTGAATACAGGGAAGCAAAGGTTACTGGGGGGAAATCGACCAGGATAGCCGTTCATACAACTGTCCACATATTTCTGATTAACTTCCAGGATTATGTCTTCCAGTGAAAACCAGACAGCTGTGAAAAATATATGAGCGGGAGGTCCTAAAACAATAAGTAATAAAAACAATTTCAGGATGAATTGTTTCATTTATTATAAAAAATTCAAATAAATGAATAATTCACAGTCAAAAAGATGTTTTTAAAACAATTTAAATGAAACAATCTGCTGCTTTTTACTTTAACAACTTTTTAGAGCCAATTTCTGTTATTTCAATAAACTGCTGATTTAAAAATTACTGAAATTAAAAGTTGCCCATCATCTGTTGTCCAACTCTTCACTAGGAGCTCTTGATCACATACATTTTTAAGGTGCTTCCCAACTAAAACCTTGTTATTGATCATGTTTCACCACTAAGATTAATTTTATTGATCCACTTTAGATTTTATATTCTTCTCTCCAAACAGTTAGGACCATATGAGGCTTGTGCCTTGTTTAACATAACCAGTAGTTATGCGAACTGGGCACCATGTGTTGCAGTCCCTACAACTGGTTGGTATAATAATGATGGAGGGACTCACAGGGAGCGTAGAACATCATGAGGATGGGCCTTTCCTCTTTCTTCAGCAGCTTCCTGAAGTCCTTTGGGGAAAAATGAAGAAACAAGAGGATGAAGAAGTTTGTGATTACAAGTCAAACATCTTTCACGCCATAATTTGAACTGAAATCTGCAAAGTAACATTAATGTGTGACCTGTCTGGGTGTATTGGGAATAATTCTCAGCAATGACCACAAAGAGTTTTAGCTTAACATGTGCAAATGTGTGTGTTAATGATGATGACCCTCTTGATGACCCTCAAGTTCAACGTAAGAGCTTGTGCCGCTTTAAACATCTTTTGTGCATGCTTTCTTCCTGGCACTTCCAGAGTAGACACTCTTATCTTTTCGCTCCCTTATCTTTTTTTCCCAAAGCTTTTTGCCCTGTCTGCCTACAGAGCGCTTCTCTGCATTTCTTCTGAAAACCCCTATTTTTAACTATGGATTTGATCAATTAGTCATTCAATGCGATTGATAAGACTTTTTTAACCATGAGAATGGAGCAGGGAGCTCCCACATGTCCACAAGGGACACACCTGGTGGGATATATGTTGGATTCCTGGAAGGAATGGAAGATCATATGCCTCTCCCAGCTTTCCATTGAGGATATCAAAGACGTGTGGATATTCGGCCTGATGATCAATGGATTTCTCCTGATTGGAGTGGGAGGATATCTGGTTTTCTGGAAATTTGGGAAGACGGGAACGATTGGAGGGCGACCCGCACCCACGGAAAGCACCGTCCGTGTGGACACTTCTCAGACTGGGACGTTACTCGAGGTGAATCGTAAGCTGGACAGTGTTCTGGCTGCGATACCGGTATTAGTGCGCAGATTGGATGTCATCTCTGAGAGAGTCACCGGACGGTATGGACAAGTTTAAAAACCCAAAATATCTTCACTGAAGGACTGGAATGATCAGTTTAAAGATTGAAGGCAGAGAGGAAAATTATCTCAGCCTGACCCAAACAAAGTCTTGTTATCTGAATCTGACGCCCTGGTAGCCTTGAGCGGCTACAAACCCCCACGAAGGAATGCAGACAGATGCTAATAAGACACATAACTAACAAACACACTTAAGTGAACACACTGAGAAGAAAGGTGTCACCTCCTTGTTTACTAGACAGATGTTTAACCCAAAAATGTCTCTGCATCGTTTCAGAATCAGACTCATCACAAAGAAGTAGGAGTTTGAAGCGTAACTATGTCAACCCGAATAACTGTTTCATCTCTTCATCATCACCATGATAACCTCAGCAATGTCAGAACAACACAATCTCCTGTTAACATCTTCATGAAGCCTCAAGACGGGAGCAGGTGAGCTGCAGCAGACTCAGGGATTTTGTTCATTGAACAGTTTTTTACGACGGCGTGGTACATTCTGTAGCTGTGAGGGGCTGCAGCTGTCAGGCTAGGAAACGTTTAGGCTGAACGAGAAGGACAGGGTCACATTGACTAACATTAGCTTCCAAAGCTAAAGAAGCCATCATTAGAAAGAGAGAAGCAAACTAAATCCATGTAAATACCCAGCTTCTCCATGATTCATCTAAAGTTTAAGGTCATGGCTTACTTTTTCTGTTTCGACGTGGATGACATCCTTCGCCTCGGGGTTTTCCTCCCACAGCGGAGGTCCTGATGGGTCTTTGAGGAACGCCACCATAGACTGAAGGAAGGCAAAACAAAAGGAGTAGTCAGGATGAATCCATCCCAGCGAGTCCAAACAAAGGCTGCACTCGCACTCGATGATGCGGTGGACAACAGAGGTGGTTGTGTGAACATCATACATAAGTCTTTCTGGAGGCTCATTTGGATGAACCTGTTCATCTGACCAAGAGTTACTTCAGCACCTGTGAGGCTTTCATCGTGGGCCTGCTGTAAATATAATGAGCCATGTGAGTGTGGAAGCGCCAGCAGGAAATATTTCATTCATTAGGCAGAATATTTAATGACCTTTAGTTTGTCATCAGGACTGTGTTGTAAGGCTTTACGGTGAGAGTTTCCATGTTCTGGTGTTTCTGATCTGTTTGAAATGTTCCATTTAGAAGTTGCAAAACATTTCCTTGTGTAATCACTTCTTTCACCAAAACAAAGACATTACTCCATGTTTTTATCACCTGCACCTCTATCCGTCTTCCTAGGAAAGATTAAGCCACCATTACAATCGCTATAAAGCTTCTCTGCACAGCTGCAGGTTAAAACCACAAAAACAAAACACATACTTTGAATTTTCTGCACCAGCTTCGTCTCAAATCTATACTACACTCCCTCTTCATCAGTTAAAAATAATCCTTAATAGTTTTAGTGATTTCTTTAATCACAGCTGTTAAATGGATTTTCTAGAACTAATCAGGAGTTTTTAATAATTCACAAAGTTGGATTTAGACTTTGTGACAGGCTGCTGCTGGCGGCTAAGAGCCAAAAGATCTGATCTGAAACGTCTTTGCTAAGCTGTCTGATACGCGTTGAGCCAACATCGGTTCATGCCTCGAGTTTAGGAGCCTGAATGATTCACAGGAAAGATCAGATACAAATTAGCATGAATAAAAATAACAGCTATAATCTGAGGAAGTCTGGAAAAATACTTTGTAATGATAATAGAGGATAAATTGGGTTAAGTAAATTGATTGAAAAGCTATTGATATTATTACCACTACTTGTGACCAATAAGTGGTGATACTCTAACTAGAATGTCACCTGCTTGGTCTTATTGTTTTAGTCAGAAGATTCTAAGATTCTTTTATTCATTAAGGGATTGTACACACTTCGCTTTGATTCAAGAAACAGTCTGGTTTATAAACAAAGTAAGAATTTATTTTACAAACAATTAAGACTTGACAAATTGTTTCAAACTATTATTTACTGTAAGTGGATGCGAACTAAAGGCTAGTTTGGAACCTATGTGTGAATATAATATATTCAGAATCTCCGTTCTCAGAGCTGAGTTCTGGATATAAAAGAATTTGGTTTGCGTTAAGCTATAAGTTGTTATTATCAAAACCACATGCAGACGCTATCTCGCTGTGCTCTGCCTCACCCGTTTGGAGACCCCGTTTGGATCAGAGATGTCCAGGAGCAGACAACCCCGCTGCACCTGGTTCATAGAGAAACCTCGATGCGACCAAATCAGTCCTCAGATGTCTCCGGGTCACAACGATAGATGAAACCGAGCGTCTTAAAAATAACTCTGAAGGAGTTTTGAGTCAGCTTTGTTCTGCAGGAAACTATCTTGTTGTTTCAGCTTCGCAGGTGCGAAGAAAAAGGTTTAAGGTTTTGACAACATGTCAAAATCTTTGGTTAAAGAGGTCTGCTAAAGATGGCCATTCTAAAGCTTGCTCTCGAACTGGAGAGGAACCAGAGTGGACTGGTTTTACATATTGATGTTATCACTGAATAGCCAACCACAGATTGGCAAGTTGAGGATATTACCAAGCATCTCAGAACACACCCTCTGTGATGGAGACTCCAAATCTAGACAAAAGGTTAACTTTTGTGTCATGCATTAACTTAACTTTACTTGTGAGTGCAAATGTTATGACCTCGTCAAGTAAACATACTAATCATATACCACGATGAAACATTTCATTATTTATAATTAGCAATAACAAAAGTTAATTGAATGATTATTTTTAATTATAAAATCTTCTTTTCTTCATCTGGGAATAAAGGAGTTTATTTCTCTGTGAGGGACCTTGGTGGAGAAAATTGTTTTTGTTTATATCTTTATTATCTCTGTAGTCCAGCTGGTGTGAGGAAGTAGGCTCTGATTAAAGGGGCTACGTGCAGACTTCGAGACTCCTGTCAGGAAAAAATACAGTAAGATGCGTCATAGCCAGGGTAAGTAGACCTGGCTGTGCATTTGACCTGTGGGATCTCAAAATAAGGCCATTTCGTGATGTTACAACTTTAATTAAGCCACTTTAATAAGACACACCATGCCGGCAAATCAGTGTAATGCTGCCGCCACGGTGTCTCTTATGAAAGCGGCACGGTGATGCTGGAATTTTGCAGCCTTCTTTTTAATCTTGGTAGTAATAAAGGGAGCCTAAGTCACACCCATCTATTTCTGGACCACAGGTCCTTGGAAAAACAAAAGAATGAATGGAAGTCTGGGGCTGTAAAAGCTGTTTTCTAATCCCGTTTGTTTTGTGTCATGGATTTCACATACGATGCCCGTGAATTTCAAAGACACATTCTGATGGCAAGAACACACTTATTTTTGAATGGGGTAAACATTATTTTAGGTTTTGTGTGAAAATACGTCCAGGACTACAAATGCACATCTATGTTGACATCATTGAACCAGACATGGAGAAAAACAGAGGAAAATGGCTGTAAGTTCAGCAAACTTTGAATCCTTCGTCCACGAGGAAAGAACCACCGAATATCTTGCCATGAGGTAAGGGGAGAGGAGATCCTGTGGCGATGTCATATTTGCGATGCATCGATGTCTGATTTGTAGTCATTGGAACTAATTATGAATTTTTACAAGCTGATGAATCTCAAAAGTATGTGACTTTACATATGATTATAATTTAGGCTGCCTATTGCCACAATGTGAGACTTGTGAATGCATATTACATCTTGGCGCAACAGAGGGAGGTGTCATGATCGTGCAGGGAGTTATGACCAAGCTTTGGCCGGCTACAGTATTGAAAATGAAAGTGAACCCGGGCAGTGAGATTTGTGTTTTTAAATAATCAGCTGAGATGGTCAACTGGAGTGACACAGAGCTCCAGGAGCTTCAGACTGTTAGAGCTGGAGCTCAGATCACCAGACCGTCCCCAGGGACTGTGGTGGACAGACACCTTCAGGAGCGGCTTGTAAAAAATACTTATGGATTACAGCTTCAGTCACAATAAAAAACAAGTTATGTCAAAGATAAAAAGGAAGTCTGTGACAGTGAAGAGAGTGCCCCCTTTATACCGCCATTGCTTCATCTTTTACAAATAGGACACGATTGTGCCACATTACCTCTGATTACTTATAAAGGACCAGAGGCTTCCAGATGCTGGCTTCACGGCAAACTGATGGCATTTTTTTGGTAAAAGAGGCTAAGAGTCTTTTTTTTTTTCAAAAAAATCACAACAAAGCAGATTTAAATAGAAATGAGGGACAACTCAGGTCATGTACTGTACATGATCCATAGAAATATGAGTGGAAATCTCCTTAGTTAAATATTTAAGCTGCTTATGTCATAAACCCACTTGGACAAGAACCAGAGAGGAGGAAAACACTGTTATGATAAATATCAACAGGTGAAAAAAAAAGAAAATAATCTTTTATAAAGCACCTCTCAAGATAAAAATCACAAGGAACTTCACAGGAACAAAAATGTTTCCTATACTCAACGATGCATGGTAAAAAACTGTATTAGATACATAAATCTAATTTGTTTTTCCAAAATTTGTCATTCCAGAAATCTAATTGAACAGAGTGACCCAGTCTTCATCCAGCTAGCTAAATAAATAAGGATAAATGAGAGGAATCTGTTGTGTAACTGACTGATTACTCAATACAGGCACACAGGCACACACAAACACACACACACACACTAGAACTCACCTTAAAGGTAGCAGGTCGGTTGTACTCCGTGTGGAACGTCCCATCTCTGCAGAACATAAATAACACCTTAAGTAAGTGATGAATGCATCTCTTCAGCTGCAGAAATGGCATCACGTTCCAAGAAGCATCGAGGTGAGGAGAGGTTTCCGGCTGATTGTGTGGTTGCTCACTTGTAATGCATGAGTTCTGCTCCTCCATGCTTGGAGCTCGGGTCCACCTTCACTTTCTTGCAGAGCTTCCGTCCCTCGGAGTCTCTGAGAAGGGGATCAAAGAACACGAAAAGAAACTATCAAAAACACACATGTAGAAAAACATCTTCAATCTGAAAAAACCACAAAATATTATCAAATCAATCAATAATTAGAAATTTTATTTAAAGCGCTTCACAACAACCACAGCTGCTCAAACTGCTGGATGATGGTAACTATTGGTCCACCATTTTTCGTCTAATTAAAGTATTTTGGATGGTTCCTTTTGTGTAAGTGTTTTTATTTACATCTGTTGACAAAAATTGTATTTTACATTTTCATGAAGCTTCGCTGAGATCAAGCGAGCATCTTGTCACACCTACAGCCGTGAACACGATAAACAAAGCTCTTTGTCCAACCCAGTGGCTGCTCCAGAATCAGCACATACATATATTCAGCGTGGCTAAAACGGTAAACAAATAATTCTTGTTTGTGAGGAAACAAGCATGCATCTAGCCGCCTACGCTAACTTCACACCTGCTGTAATGTGGCACTGTTAGCAGGCATAAAGTGTTCTTCCCCCTCGGTGATGAAGAGCATTGAAAATATGCATCAGAGTGAGATGGATGAGGGTGTTTGCTGAAAAGTAAATCCAATGCAACCAAATTCAGGAAGGAAGAATTCATTTCTGGCTGTGAGAGCCACAACAAGACAAATACAGTTCATGCTTAATGATGTTTGTCATTAGGAAGATAAATGCACCTATTTAATGTCTGGGGATGAGCATTTCAGGTAGAACCGTGCAAATAATGTCCCATTAGGCTGACTCATGATGGCAGATGGCAGCAGTAAGAGCACAACAGGAGCAGATGTAACCTCGACACAGACTTCACTTGGAGCTGACGCGCAGTCACCTGGTTCAAGATCAGTCTGCTGCCTCCAAACGTTTCAACAGTAGGAAATAAGCGCTGTGAGGAAGTAAATATATCAAACACACAGAGCTAAGCAATGCAGACAAAGAGCTCCACAGTGATCAGAAAATAACATGTTCATCAGAAGTTTGGCATCTTAGTTACTGAAGCATTCCTGGAGAAAAGACCAATAACATCGAGAAAGCAAGAAAATGCCCCCCTTCCATTTTTGTCTAAGCGTTGCAAAATAGTTTCAAAGTCAAGAGTAGAAAATCCAAACAAAAGGTTATTTATTCTGCATTGTTCTTCAGAACTCAACACTCTGCCACGTTTGAACAAAACGCCTGCAATTACATAAACAAGGGTTTTCTTAGTATAATGTGAATATTGCTGACACCTGGGTACGGTTAAATATGACACACAGCTTTATTCTCTCAAGTCAGACAAGAAAATAAAAAATGACTGAAGGGGAGAAAAAAACACAGCACGCAATTATGAGTCTGAATTACAGTCTCAGTCAATTGGACAACGAAGAGGAAGGCCTCCTTGTGATGCTCACGGGATAAATCAATGCTCAGAAAAGTTAGAGTGACCCTGTTCATTCAATACAACAAGGGCTATAAATGGATTATCCCACTGAATGGACTCAACTGTTCTACATTCATCTCTTGGATCAACTGATGATGAATCGGTGAGACAAAGTCTGACTGCAGTTATTAAAATCCTCTTCCTCACATCTAAACAACAACACAATTATTACTCCAGAACATTTTGAGTGATCAGGTGAAATCTGATTAATTCTCTGAAAAGACCTTCTCACTTCATTTGTGAAGGTGGCTTTCAGCGCACCCATAAAGGTACGGCAGGCCCCAGTTGATCCAGTGACGGGATTGGTGCTCTACCAGGTGTGAGAGACTCTGCAGCTCAGAGAGGAGGAGACTTTCAGAAGATGGCCTGGAGTCAAGAAGGCAGCAAAGGAGCCTCTCCTCTTGAAGAAAACCATCAGGGAGGGATTGATATTCTGCTAAAGGTTTAGGGATTGGACTGCTGAGGACTGAAGGAAATACATTTTCTCTCATAAACCCTTTTCAAGGTCTTCTATGACCAGATTGACGATATAATTCCTCCAACATGTCCTGGCTAGAGTTGGGGGCCTCCAACCAGCAGGATATGCCTGAAAAAAACTCCCTAGAAAGTAGCTCGGGAGGCATTCTGCTAAATCCCCAAACCACCTCAGCTGGCTCATCTCATTACAGAGGAGCTCCTCAACCTCCCTCTAAGGCCAAGCCCTGCTACCCTATGAAGAAACTTAGTTTGGCTGCTTGTCATTTGCGATCTTGTTCTTTCAGTCAATGCTTAAGACCATTGGAGAGGACAGGGATGAAAACTGACAGGTACATTAAGAGCTTTGTTTTCTGTCTTAGCTCACTCTTCACCACAACAGACAGCCTTAAGCCAGGCAGACACCGCGACTTTTTAAACGTAGCGTTCCGCTCCAGCTCAAACTGTACGACTTCCTCATAGTGCAAATCTCACGAGTAATGTGCTCACACTGTACGACCTCAGGTGCAACCCGACTGCTCACACAAAACCTAAAATAGCAGTCCCTGTTCGAAAATAAGCACGCTCTTGGTATCAAAATGTGTCTTTAAAATTCACGAACATCATATGTGAAATCCACGGCACAAAACAAGCGGAATTAGAAAATAGCGTTTTTAGCCTCATTGACTTGCATTCTTTTTTTTTTTTGGTTCTTCCGGGACCCCTGATGCGGGACTGACTTAGGCTCCCTATAGCTGGTTAACCGTGTTGACGCATGTTTGCGCATGCGTCGTGAGCGGTTCTGGTACTTCTGGGTCACAGCCGCTCGCAGTGCCACTTCAACAATACCCTCACTAAGGACAAACAAAACATCAAACAGGCCAGAAATCCGTAACCCCCTGTCTCGTAACCCCCTGTATAATACACGACACTCAGCGCAAAACTCGCCCGGATCTTGTAGATTCTCACACGAGGGGAAAATGACTCAAAAAAGTAAAAAAAAGTTGCACAGTGTCCGCCTGGCTTTAGCACCTGCATCACTACAGATGCTGCCCCAATCCACCTGACGATTTCCTGCTCCCTTTATCCCTCACACATAAACAAGACCTCGAGATACTTGGACTCCTACACTTGAGGTAGGACCTCTTCCTAACCTAGAATCGGCAATTCACTCTTTTCAATTGGAGAACCATGTCCTCAGATTTGGAGAGGCTGATCTTCATCCCATCAGCTTCATAATCTGCTGGCTTTCTCACAAGTGTTGCACAGCTGTGCCTAGAAACTCTGTCCATAGAGGTAATAAACAGAGCTGGTAACAAAGAGCAGGCTCGGCGGAGTCAAACCCTCACCAGTAACAGGTGTAAATTGGGAACTCAGACAAGACTCACAGGTATAGGAACTGAATGGCCCTCAAGACAGACTTTCATGCCCTCTCCAGCACCCTAGCAAGAATAAAGAGTTGGTACATGGTTTCATAGCTAGGATGAAAAACAGTTTGCTCCTTCTCAAGCTGAACTTTAACTAGAACACAGAACTTAACTATTAATAATAAATGGTCCTAAACATCCTCCCAGAGGAACTCCTCCAATCACCCAACAACAGCTTGGTGATGAACAATGTCTTTTCCAGCATGATGAAGCACCAGGCCAGAAGACTAAAGTCAGCATTAAATAGCAACAAAACAACATTTCAGGTGCATGTTCTCCAGACCTTAAACCCATTCAGAATTTGTCCTCAAGATATAGATGGAAAAAACAACAACAAAACAAACACATTCAAACAAACTCCTGCACTGATGAAACTATGGGCAATTATAAGTCACGATTTGTTCTTGTATAGCAGGAAGACTGAAACCAGGAGAAGGATTGTATAAAAAAGCTTTGCTTTGCAAAAGCTCTGAGTGGCCTAGTGGTAGAGTGTCCACCCTGGGGCTGGGAGTCTGGGGTTTAAATCCATGTCAGGTTATACCAAAGATAATTTTTTTTACGCAGTTTAGTAAAAAAAAAAATTTTTTACCCGACATGTTTCAGCTAGTATCTCTAGCCATCATCAAATATTGCCGGTATTGGTGGCGTCACTTCCTTTTAGAAGAGTTTCATACAAAAAACTTTACAAATGGGACCCAATGCCTCCTCGATTATGTGATGAATAAAAAGGGTCAATTTTCACCATTGAACTGACACAGCATAACCTTTCATACAGGTCAGAGCTGCAAAGTCAAGGTTACACCAGCTGGAGGATCCAGATGCACAAATCAACCTTTTGCTCACTTGTTGTTCTTCAACGCAGACATAAATAAACTGTCATGGTCTCCATTTTATTGCTGGTTTTAGTTTTTGTAATGGATTAAAACCAGCACTGTAGTTTTTTTTTCTTATCTCTCACAAGACTGAATGTTTTACTACATCCACTCCAGTCTCTTCTAAATTTCAAGGGGCAGCCCATGTCTTGTTGTCTGTTCCTGTATGAGATCATCCATCTCACTGGTGGAACCCAGTTGGCCAACACTCAGGTCGCTGTCATCTGTTCAAAGTGTGCCATTCTGACATTGGTGGCTCACTTCCTTGGCAGGGCTGACAGTTCTCACACTGTGACATGCACTCTAGTCTCTTTCTCCCTCTGTCCGCCATCAGCTCTCAGCTGGAGCGAGTCCATTTGGGACGGTGGAAAAATATGCCAAACAGCACAATGCTTTGCTTCGGAGCCTGGCACTGGATCTGTGTCCTACAGTGATAACCCCGATTCACTCGAGCTCCCCTTGTGGGTTTCTGGGCACGTTTAAATCTCTGTTTAGCATTAGCACACACTCTAAAAATGTAGAAATGTTGAATGGAGAAGGGTTCCAAATGAACAAGGGTGGGAAACTACACACTAAAAAAAATGACAAGCCTATGTGGTAAAACATGGACACAAACACCTTTGACAATTTCTTCACACAGTTTATGAATTTAGATCTTTTCCTCTCTTCCTGTCGGCCTGGTTTTCAAACCTGGACAAGCTTGAGAGAGATTGTGAATGCTGGAATGAACACCAGGTGTCAAAGGAGGGTTGCTCCTTTCTCTTATTGTTTCCTGTGTTATCATACATCCTTTCCTCTCTGGTGGGGAAGAGGGTTCATGCAGCTGATGGGTTGACAGGTATGAAGAAAAGATAGCGGAACTGAGCAGTGGAAGGGCAAACAGAACAAAAAGCAAAAGTGAGGTCAGTTAGGGAGCTCGGTAAGTAGCACTCAGTAAAAATCTTTTTATCCTCTCAGAAGGAGAGAAGCAACAGTTAGTCGGCATTGTCCATGACGCGGACTAAGATAAAGTGTTCACCGAGATCTGTAGCATCTTAAACAGAGCATTTATGAGACAGAGCTGGTTACATGACCACAGAGATATATAGAACTGATGTACAATATGTGTGTGGGCCATTTAGTTTATTATTGTTATTACTAGTGAATGAAGAAAATCTGAAAAGAGAACAAACACCAGTATGAGTGAAATGGTGACTTGGACAGGCAAGGTGGAAGTGCTTCACTGAAAAATAACCAGTTGAATGCTGAACGTGCAGAGCTTTCTTTCCATGGCTGCAGCACTGGAAGACACAAACATCTGGAACATCCTGCAGCTGTGATGCAGGTAGTATGTTTTAGTGGGTAAAGTCAGTGTCGCTCGGCATCAGTGTTGGGAGTAACGCGGTACAAATGTAATTAATTACTGTAATGCATTGCTTTTTGCTGCAATGTGGTAATGTAAGGCATTACAGGGAAAGAAAATGGTAATATTTACTCTGTACAATTGTCAGTAACGCAGTAATTACAATGCATTTTTAAACCCAGAATCAAGATGTGGGTTTCCTAAAAATTCAAATTGCGGGAAGCCTGAAAAAAGATCCAGTATCCACATATATGACGTCATTTATGGACTCAGCTTTGCAGGCATTCTATGAGCAGAGAGGACGCAGCGGTAACGGCTCAAATACTCCACCTGCATCCTGCGCGCGGCCGCTGTTATATTCACAAAATGGCTCCACCAAAACAAAGTCATTAGTTTGCGATGGTTTATATCAGCCCATATTCTCTGGTACTTCATGTACTTTTCAGCTGAGTTCATAATCTGTGCCCTAGTGATTTCAACTCGTTGCTGCTGGAGCGCAGCTCATATTAAGCTTTTTTTTTCTTCTTGAGCTCGGTAGATCCCTTTGGCTGATTAGTTAGAAAGTAGGAAATCTAGGAAACTGTTTTTTTCTGGAAGACGGAGAAAACATGCAGCATGCAGGAAGGTTAGAGAGAGAAAGGGCAGGAAATTATTCAAATAAAACCAAGAAAACAAAACAAAGTGCTTGAGAAGAAAAAAAGTAGGCAGATTTATCCCCAATACACATTTTTACCAGTGAAAAGCAATAATATACATAAGCATTTTAATATTTATACTAGTGATAGAATCAGATCACCCCAGAAGTCAGTCCCACATCCAGGGCCATGTGAAGGCATTTGGGGACCAAGTCAAATGTAGGCTTGGAGCCCCCACCACCTCACTCCCTGCTCAGTTAATATAAGATGGCAGCGTGCTGAGAGTACAGATTGTTGTTGCTTTTATTTAATAAACAATCATTGTAAAGCACTGTTATTATATCTGACTGTTTTAACAGCAATCCTAGCTCAGACACCACATCACTTTCCACATATATGTCATGAGCTCACTGAGCGTCAGATTACCAGATTCATATTGAAGTTGTTTTGGTGAAAGTAACTTAGAGTAATGCAAAAGTAGTGTAATGCCTTACATTTTAAAATCAGTAATATTGTAATGTAATGAATTACTTTAAAATGAGGGTAACAAGTAATAAATTATGCATTACAGTTTTGAAGTAACTTGCCCAACACTGCTCAGCATCGTCTAATGCTGACGTTTGAACTGTGAACTTTACATCAGGGTCTCATGGACGATCGCTTAATGAGTATCATCTCAGTTAAATCTGCCAACATGTTTGGACTGATGCGACCCAGCAGACCAAAAACAGGAAGTTTCTGTTCAGCTGCAGCTGGGCAGCCCTAAACGTCTGAGCAGCCTCTTCTTCCCAAACATACAAACTCTTTACTGCACCTGCAAACCTCTTGACATCAGATTTCATAAACCGTCTATTACGTAGTACATCATCTATTTTATATCACATACATATGTTCTGATGATTTCATGTTTTTTTATTTCTTTATTTCCTGCACCACACACCAAAACAAATTCCTGGTGAGTGTAACAGTTGGCTCGGTGATTACCCTGATTCAGATTAAAGCAAATAGGAGTCGCTGTGCGGTCTTTGTCTCTGTGTGCGTAACATGAAAGTATATTAAGGTAAAGCTCCACTAACTAATGCTTAGTTTGAATTTGAAAAAGATCAGTATGTGGAAACTCTTAACAAGTATTTGGCACGAGAGCGGGCCTAAAAATTCATTACATCTATTAGAAAAACAAATTTGAATTTTATAGACTGAATGGAAATAGCATCTCCTAAGAAGTTTCTTACTCTTTAGTGATGCATGTATAAAAAGCTTACAGATAAAAACACAAATCTAACAAAGTTTTGTTCATTAAATACAAATGTTCACATTGATACAGGCTGTTAGCTTAGCTATGGGGTGGACCCTCCCACGTCTGCCAGTTTGGTATGTTGCAATTAACTCATTCACTGCCATTGACGACTAAAGTCGTCATTTTAGATCCAACCGTTCACTGCCAGTCGTCATTTGCATTTTTTTACTGTTTGGGCGTGGGAACGAGCCCCTGCGCTGAGAGAACAAACATCTCAGCTCTAAAGCCGGTCTTCATCCGCATTCGTCAAACGTCACGTGATCAGGAAGCAGAACATCCATGTGTTAGGAGATCGTTTTGGGCCGTTCCTGTAAAAAAAGTGAGGCGCGAACCGGAAAAGCGTCTGCCGATCACAACTCGACATGAAAGAACGGATAACGCTCGAAACACGCGGATTCTTCCTGATGTAAGAGGTGAGTCTCTGCCTTGTTTTGGTTGTTTTGGTTGTTTTGGCGTCGACATCATCCTAGTGCGCAACGTTCTGTGACTCTTAAAAAAACAGTAAAAGCGGTGAGAAACCCTGGCAGCGAAGGCCGTTAGCGATCAGGAAACGGCTGGCAGAGAATGAGTTAAAGAAGACATTGAATGTTTTGAATTTTTTAATTTATCAGAAACAAAGTTAAACAAATGTAAACTTAAATATATATTACATGTTGTTCTTTTGACCCAAAAACAAAATGAAGAGGAGTGTAAATTATATAAAAATAAAGAATAAATTGTAACTGTTTTTAGAGGGGACAATGAGTCACACAGTCTGTTGAGACCTCATGAAAAAGCCAAGAAAACTATCAAGAGGAAACCTTGGGAATGCTTTCACAAATGTAGTCATTCAGGGGGTGAAAATAGACAATATAGAGGCAGACATTGGAAAGCTGAAATGATATAAAGACATGTGCTGCACTAGACCCAGAGCTTCAATAGCCCTAATAAGTGTGAGACCATCATCCAGATTGTGCTTGTACAATAGAATCGCTACAACGAAGCCATTTACACTTCAGTGAAAAAGACATAAATTGCAAAGACGGACGACAGCGAAGACGTTTTTGGGAGGAGAAAATTGCTCTGCCTCTTTACAGGCTGTCAGAAAATTCCCCGGACAAAAGAGGTTGTAATGTTGAAAAGGGCAGGAAGAGGTTTTTTTTTTTTTTCTTAATTATCCCTTTACTTACCCACAGTTGACCCAGGCTATAGTGCCCTGGCCTTTTACCGTCTGGGCCACACTGGATAGCAGCTTTAGGTGGGACTCCCCGGATGTGGCTGTGGACAGAGAATACAGAGATTAACCTTGTTACCAGAGACGTTCCATAGCTCGGGTTTGACCAGAGACGCTGGTGGCTGTTATTTTCAACACCGAGTTAAAGCTGAGCTCAGGGTTTTCCTTAAGCACCAAGTACAACTTGGACTTCCAGCGACTTGGAGGTTTGAGGCAAAATTAATAAATGTGAAGTGTTAATTGATCCACTAGGCTGCTTCCTGCTTAATGACCATTTGTACCATAAAAAAAAAGAGCGCAAAAGGTAAAAGTTTTGTCATTTCACCAAACATGTAAAAAGCACAGACCTTACAGTAAAACTAGGGATGTGAATCTTAGAGCAACTCACGATTTGATTTGATTCCGATTCTTGGGGTGCAGATTAGATTCAGAATCGATTCTCAATTCTCAATTTAAATCGATTCACAATCAGTATTAACAAAGAGTGTCAGCTCCAGGATGAACTACTTTGTTGTACAAGTTAGTTAAAGCTATGGGGCATTTTTATTTGACTTTAAACTGGTCATGCTCCAAAAGTTCAAATTTACAATGTAAAATAAAGTGATTCTAAAACTGTAAACAGAAGCAATCTTTTGACCAAAGGGCAACATTTATTTTTGCTTACCTTGTAAAATTTTACAAATCTGTAGTTACGTAACAGTAGCTTTGAAAGTAATACGGTAAAACACTTTTCAAGTATGTGTAGAAACAAGTTACATGAGTAATCCTGAGTACTCATTTATCAACTCAGAAAATAAATATGAGAATATCTCAAATTTCTGAGTATGGAAAAAATGACATTCAAGTGCCCTCTTATCAGCAGATTCAAACATAAATCATCTCAATTCATGGGACCACAAATGTAAACCGAGTACTGACTCTCCTAACAAAGATCCAAAAAGTGCATCTCAAACCTGTAACATGCCAAATATTTGAGTTCTTGGAATCGATTCTGAACCTTTGTGAATCGATTCTGAATCTTTATTAATAAGAATCCCGATTCAAACTTGAATAGATTTTTTTCAGCACCTCTAAGTAAAACCAAAGTAGTTCTGCAGTTTAAGTCTAGTGATGCACCAATATGAAATTTTTGGGCCGATACCGATATCCGATAATAATCACTGTTATGGCCGATAACTAGGGGTGCTCCGATTGATCGGCCACAGATAATTATCGGCCGATTTTCCTGCAAAAGTGTGTGATCTGTGATCGCCGATCACTGCCTTTCATTTCCGATCTGGCACTTACTCTTCCCGGCCGGTAGTTCACCCTTCCGCTTCTCCCCACTTAGTGCGCATGCGCGTGGCGGCAAACCCGCAAAGACAAACATGTCTGCCGTGTGGAACTTCTTTTCGGTGTGCGAGAGTGATATTAAGTTTGCGTCTTGCAACACTTGCAAAGAAAACATACCCCGCGGAGGAAGCACTTCAAAAAAATTCAACACAACGAATTTGATCCGACATTTAAAGACTAAACACTTGGCGGAGCATGGTGATTTTTTGAGGCTCACCGCAGACAATGAAAAGAAGCCTGCTAATGCTAATGCAGCCACAGTCAGATGGCAGCTAACGCAGCCGACGCTTGGAAACACTCGCCCATATGAGCGCGACAGTCAAAAGGCTAAGCAAATTACCCGAAAAATCATCGAGTTTATTGGACTAGACGACCAGCCTTTTTCAGTTGTGGAAGACGCCGGATTCCGCCGACTACTAACCCACTTGGAACCTCGCTACATGCTACCGGGACGTAAATATTTCGCCGACGTAGCCCTCCCAGAGCTCCACCAGACAGTGTATTCTTTCATCGAGGGACTCCTTAAAGAAAGCGTCTCATCCTCTGTGAGTTTCACTAGTGACATTTGGAGCTCAGATGTCAGTCCTGTGTCAATGCTGAGCTTAACAGCTCACTGGATAGATGCAGACTTTCAACTTCAAAGAGCTGTTCTGCATGCCCAGGAGTTTTCCGGTTCCCATACTGCGCTAGCTTTAGCAGCTGCATTTGAACAAATGTTTCAAACATGGCATATTCCAAAAGATAGGGTACATGTGATACTAAGAGACAATGCCAGAAACATGACGAAAGCTATGGCAGATGCTGGGTTACCAAGTTTGGGGTGTATGGCACACACCCTGCAGCTGGCCATCCATGATGCTGTGCTGTCACAGCGCAGCATAAGTGACAGTATTGCCAAAGGGAGACGCATTGTGGGACACTTCAGGCACTCTCCATTAGCATATGCAAGACTTCAGAGTGTACAAAAACAACTGGGACAGCCCACCAAAAGACTGCAGCAAGATGTCAGCACGAGGTGGAACAGCACCTATTATATGCTCCGCAGCCTCTTGGAGCAAAAACGAGCTTTGGGCGTTTATGCTGCTGACTTTGAGCTACCTGCTACCTTTACATCTTCCCAGTGGGACCTGATTGAAAGCACAACACTACTCCTGGAACCCTTTGAAGAGCTGACTAAAGAAATATGCTCATCAACTGCATCTGCTGCTGATGTCATACCCTCTGTGCTGGTTTTAAAGCGCCTACTTGCCAAAGATGCTGCAGCAGATCATGGTGTGAAGACAACTAAGGCCACATTGCTGGAAGCTGTCTCCAAAAGATTTGCTGATATCGAAAAGGAACCTCTCTACAGTTTGGCCACCATCATAGACCCAAGGTGAGAAAATTATAAAATAAATAATGCTGAAATGTAAGCATTTACGTATCCATAGTTAATTATTTTGTTTTCAAGTTGCCAGAAACTACAAGTTTAATAAGAAATGAATGTGATGTCCCCCCACCCCTATTCTAGGTACAAAGACAAATTCTACTCTGAAGACGCAGTCAAGATCGAGACACACAGACAGCTTCTTCGTCTGATCACAAAGGCCTCTCAGAGGGACCCAAACCAAGAAGCTGAAGCCAGCAACACAGGACCACCAGCAGAGAAAGTGCCACGATCAGGATCCTTTTCTTCCATGTTCGGTGAAATCCTGGCAGAAGAAATCCCACGGCAGGCTCACACTGACACTCCAGCAGGACCAGCACCATCAGAGATGATTGTCTATCTCTCAGAGCCACCCATCCCTCGGAGTGCATCACCTTTGGCATTCTGGAAAACTAATAAGGAGAGATTTCCAGACCTTGCTAAAGTAGCTCAAGCCTACCTGTCTGCACCCTGCACAAGTGTAGAGAGTGAGCGATTATTCAGTGCTGCATCCAACATTTTGGTAGATGAACACAGGAATAGACTCATGAATGAAAAAGCAGAGATGCTCCTCTTTATTAAAAAGAATCTTCCCATGATGCTTCTCAACAAGTCAAACACGTCATAAATATTTAGCATACACAAATGCTGTTCAACATGTTTCCCTGTTTAAAGCAGTTGCACTTTAAGTTGTGCCAGTTTTCTGTTTCAGGGTCTTTAGGACCATATGTATGTTGTTCGAGTGACAAATGGGCTATTTTATTTACCTTGTGAAACAGTCATATTTATTTTATACTTTATAAGAAAGTGACAAATGTGCTATTTTTTTTTTTACCAGTACCTTGAGAAACAGAGTCATGCTTATTTTATACATTATAAGAATGGTAAGCACTTTCATTTTTGGTATAACAATAAACAGAGTTTGATAATTCATGGCCTCAGGTATTTTTGATTTTGTAAGTTATAGTTAATAGAATACATGCTCCATTTGAATCTGAATGTATCCTTGGTTACTTAATTTGATTTAGGCGGTGATGTGAGATATTGACTTTTTTTGCACTATTTGTAGCCTAAAGAGAGCCTTAATGTTTTCAATTTCTTATAAATTGTTACTGATATTACATAATTTGACGTGAAGTAAAACCATGTTTTTTCTGAATTAATATGTAACACATGCATTAGAACTCACCATAGCTAAATGAACAACTTACAGCCAATCTATGTAATTGGTATCGGTAATCGGCTGATCGGCCATGATCGGCCTCTTGGCTGATCGGTATCGGTGATCGGCAGATTAAAACCTGATCGGAGCATCCCTACCGATAACCGATATTTGCTGATATCGATAAACTGACATTAATGTTTCTAAAACCAGCAGATTTTGTATAGATTGAAAATTACTAAAGCTGAATTTACATTATGTACACACACCACACTCATTTACACTTCTGAGATTATTACTATCACTGTCACATGACTAAACAAATACAGATCCCCCCTCACCCTCAGAAACAGATAAACAAATGGAAACAAGGTGGAAAACATATCAGTTGTTAATATCGGTCCAGTTTTATTTATCGGACAGATGCCGATATTTTAAAAACTGACTAGCATTGGCCGATACCGACATTGATGCAGATATATTGTGCATCCCTAGTCACCAACTTTGCATTTTTGATTAAACTGGTGTTCCCTGCAAATACGATCTGCCTTCATGAGACCAGCAAAGATGCAGCATCCTGAATAATCCTGGAGCTCATATGCAGCTCTGCATTCCTGTCAGACGTTATCACCTTACACTAGCAATAATTCCCACTTCACACGGGAAGCATCAGCGATGCGGAACGGCAACACAATGTCACAGCTTCAAATAGAACTCATTATAGTCTAGGGGGTGATTCAAACCAGCTGCGCCGTGGAAATTTTCAGGCGTGACACTAAAGCGGGCGAGACCATCATCCACTGCTAACAATATAGGATCAGGTTCTATATTTGCCGCAGGCCCATTTCCACAGTTAACATAATGCTAGACAGGAAATCACACACGGTTTCAGAGTAAAACCTCCTGTAATTTTCAAAATAAAAGACTATTGCAGCCATGCGATTTCATATCGATTTAGATTACGTCAAAAACACGAGACCTAACGGCTTACATACTCCCAGCATCGCTAGAGAAGTGCAACTATGTGTTTTCATGGCTTTAGTCCTGACAGTGGAGAGGAACAACATCATTTATGACATCAAACAGTAATATCAAATGTGAGCTCTTTCTTTTTGATGTAATGGCGGATGGAATAAACAAACCGTGACCTTTGAAGTCTCGAGGGATTTTGTGATCTCACGAGTCCAGCAAGGAGCACGGCGGAGAAGCCGCTCTGCGGCTGAGATTCTGCCGGTGTGTGCTGCCACGCAGCGAAACTCGAGAAAAAACCGCTCTGCGCCGCTGATGCCTCCAGCGTGAAGTAGCTTTGCACACACGTTTCGCTTAAAGATTAAAATAAGTTCAATTTACTGACGTTTACATCCAAGTTCTCATGGATTTGTTAATGCGGTACTACATTACTAACATATTCAAAAGCTGCAATTCAAGCACAAATTGATAAAAGGGAAAAAATTAATAATTAATAATCTCTAATTTCCCTCTGGGATTAATAAAGTATCTTTGAATTTGAATAAAAAGACGACTGCTTGGTGGAACCGGTCCTGTGAGTTCTCTAAGCCCTTCAGAGTGCAGATTCAGGTTACATCCGTTTTCCTCTTACAATAATGCCGATCAGGACTGAAGGAAGAGTGAAAGCTTGAATAAACCTTGGCTGAATGCCGCTCACTCATTCTAGACAGCATGGAGAGTTTAAACTATTAGAAACCGTGAAAATCTCCAGTGGAAAAGACTAAAGGCAGCTGTGGTGTACACTTCTTTATCTCTATTAGCAAGAAGGAAAACAGTCTGCACCAGCTGTAAGCACACACTGTCTATTATCGCTGATTTATATCAGATATGGCAAGCAAAGTAGATTATTTTGAGTAAAATAAAGTAATATTCAACTCCCTGTGAAACACAATTCATCATTTTTATATTTCTCTGAAACCAAATGTGTTTTATTTACTGTATAAAAGAGAAAATTCCTCTCGGTGCTTCAGGTCAAATGTATTTTTAGATATGAAGAAACAGCAATGACTCCCCAGGGTATCACATCAAACAGGATTGGTAACAAAAACAACTGACAGCCAAGGATCTGTCTATGACCAAATATGGAGCAGGAAACAAGCAGATCCTGACTGGTTATTGGAACTGTTCATTCCTGGTATTAAATAGCATCTTGGGTAATCCAATCACGAGTCAGGTATGAACATCTGCTGAGACATTAGGAAGTGCCCAACATTTACCACACACTCAAAATCAACACCTGAAATGAAACAAGTGATAAAACGTGGGATGATAATCTGGATTGACAACTCTCTAGTGTCTTAAATATTATCTGCCTGTGTGAAGGAACAGCTACTGACTAATCAGAAACCCAACTCAATATGCGGAAGACAAATTCAGTGAGCTTATGTAGGCTGGTGTGTGTCATAACTCATATAATAAATCTGTGGCTGCCGGGCTCTGACATTCCTCCAGTGCAGATTCAGTTTCCTTCCTTCCCAGCCAGAGTGCATTTCTCATCCTCTTACAAATCTGTAAATAAACATAGAATGAAAACTCTGGGGGGCATTAGGGATTCTCCAATGTGTGGGAAGAAACTATTTACGCTGTGTAGCGTCGTTTACCAGCTAAGCTCCAATTCTGTACAATAAGTATTTCCTCATTACGGAGACACAACTACTGTGATCATCCCCGTAAAGCAATCAGCAGGCAAACAGCCATTTTAAATACATTTTAAGAGACTGTGGTGGAAAGTTTATTAATTATGCAGAATTAGATGTAGGGAAAGTGCTTCTGCACAGCATCGCTTTTTATTACAACGTGATCAAAAGAGAAGCGATTAATGTAGTTCAAAGGCTGATGAGCCACAGATGAACTCAACAGTTATCAGGAGCACGTTCAGTTGTCTAGTTTAATAAGCAACGTGAAATGAGACCATCATGCATCACAATCGTGTCTTTACTAATTACTCATCACCTGCATTTAAATTTCACCTGCTGCATATCTAACATAAAATGGCAAATGACCTGTATTTAGCACCTATTTAGGGTTCTACAACCCCCCAAGGCACTTCACAACCCAGTCAACTACCCTTTCTCACACACACACACACACACACACACACACACACACACACACACACACACACACACACACACACACACACACACACACACACACACACACACACACACACACACACACACACACACACACACACACACACACACACACACACACGTGGGGATGAACTACTGTGTAGCTAGCCACAGCTGCCCTGGGGCGCACTGCCATACACAGGTGCCACCCGTCCCTCTGACCACCACCAGCAGGCAGAGTGGGTTAAGTGTCTTGCCCAAGGACACAACAGTAGCATCCTCTGGTGGGAGCCGGGATGGAACCTGCAACCTTCTTGTAGATAATTACCATCCCACACGCAGCTTCCTGAACAGCTACTGTTTACAGGTAGTTTACATCCTAATAGCAAGATGAAATGTAGCCAAGACCAAAGTGTATTGCTGTTATCTCGAAACAGCTTCAAACTCCTAAATGTCATAGCACCTCATCTGATGCTGCTTTATGAACCTTTTTACAAATTTAAATATCGCCAGTATCAGCTAATCAGGTGCATCCAGGGGTAAAGTCGAGCAGGAATTAACTGATAGATGCATCTAATTCAAGTCTGACACGGGTTATAAACTAACATTAGCATGATGAGCTTTAAAATGTGGCAGAGTAGAGTTGTAATCAGACAACTTGTTGATTACCTTGCCAGCAACCACTGCCCCCCAAACAATTCAGGTTTATTTCACAGCAAATGTTAAACAGCTAATAAATACAGAAAATATAGCTATTGTAGAATTCATGGACCTGAAAAAAGACCACTAAATTCTTCGAAATTAACTTGAAGCATTTCTTTTCTCAGATGGGGCCGCTGCATGCTTTCAGTTTTATCTTGAGCATAGAGAAGCAATGGGTCGGATCTATCAACTCTCAACTATCTAGCGTTGATTTATATATTAACGACTTTACCCAAAAGTTGCAGAGGACCCAAGCGTCAAATGTATGCAGATGACATTTGGTTTTGTTTGCAAAACTGCCCCTGATGGCTGCAAAGATAATGTCAAAATACCAAACCCTAAGCCTAATCATTTGACTTTATACTATAAAAATTAAGTTTCTTTGTGCTTTTTGTGGAAACCTCACGAAAAATCTGGAGATCTGAATCAACCAGCACACACAGTGCTCTGACAACACCAATTAGTCAGACTTAAACTGCATTTGTCCAGACAGAAACTGTAAAACAGGAAATATTTACAACTTTTACACGTAAACTTTCCAACAAGTATGATGCACTGTTTGATGAACTAATTTCCATAACCTCTACAAACTGATTATGAGTGGGTCCATCTCATTCTCACCTGTCTTTGTGTAGAGCACCAGAACATTGGTCCTCGTCCTGAGCAGCTTCTTGAAGTCTTTGTGGTCGCTGACCTTCTCTATAAGAGGTGAGACCTTCACAGCTTCCAGCAACGACAGCAGGCACACCTGATAGAACACACAAAAGTACAGCTTCAACACAACCAGGCATAGGAATGACAAGGAGACAAAGAAACAACAATTCAATCTTAACCATTAATTACACTGCATATGAAAACAGCTGAAAACTCAATATCAGATGCTGATGATCGTGCAAACCTCAGATGCTGCTGCATTGAAAATAAGTACAATATACTACCAAAAATAACTGCACAGGCTGAAAAACACTTAGGGGAAATTATGGTCTGTTCAAACAGTTTTCTGTTCAACCCAAAAAGCCGATTAAACCTCATTCAATGCATAAACATGATCTATAAGCTCTGAGCCAAAGGTCATTCATAAATTTATTGAGGCAAAGCAGAATAATCTGCTGTGGTCAAACAAATCTGTTTAAAACTACTTTTGTGCTTCATAAAGAATGTGTGTTCTAGACAAAAAAGGCAAGGGTGCATAAAATAAACAAATGTCAGTATAATTATTTAATTCAGTGAAAGTAAACTAAAGTGTTTTTAAAAAACCAGAGCATCCAGAATGCGCTTATAAGCACACAATCGCAAGCAGCGCTGTGTGTTTGATGCCAGACGGTCCGCTGCACAACATGTTCCGAGTCTGACGGCCATTTCAGCTGCCATCTTTTCAGCTTGGTTGGTTCCCAGCTAACCACCTATTAACCGTTAAGGGGAGTCAAAAACTGGTTAAAGAAATTTTGGAAAATGCGAATCCCTAATTGAAATACAAATGTCATGTCCTTTAATCGCCACACTGTTATTTTGTGGGTAAGGAGTTCAATGCAATCTGTTATTTAGCATGTAGTTCAAAAGTTCAAGTAGTAAACTCACCTTCCTGTCTAACAAACCAATTATGACACTGAAATTATGACAAAGATGTCTAATCTACAAACATAAAGTATGCTACTTAGGAAACTTTGAACTAATTGTCATAATGAACTTAACTCAAGACACTGGTGGGTAAGGTTTACTTGTGATTTGATGCTATATAAATCAACTGAACTGAATAGACTACATTATTCTACAAAAAAGTAAAAAAAAATAACCTGACATTTAGCAATGGCTGTTTAAAGGATCAGTGGACCTCAGTACCTTTATTATTTCACAAAACAGTCAAACTTTAGAGTAAAGGAGCTCTCATATATTCACTGATTTGTTTCCAACCAGTATGGTGCAACAAGGCAGGGTGCTGCTAATAATGATAACCTGGACCAAAGGCAGCTTCAAAGACGTCAACAGGCAGGTACACGAGCATCATTAGCCTGAATGGATCCTTTGCTTTACAAACACTGGTAGTTGAGCTAAACTGTGTGAAACATCAAATACAGGAAAAAGAGCCCATACCACGAGGCCTGCTCTTTAATCAAAGGTGAATAAAGAACATTTAAAAATGCCTGATTACACTCCAGCCATATAAATTCTAATTGTCTCAGCACCATCACCATTCATTAAAAAGTCCCTCATTTCTGCCTACAGGGAACTAAATTCGACACCAAACATTGTCTGCTCGCTCAACGGATCCAGCCTGATGAGTGATTTCACCCGGAATAAAAACAAGCACCTGTCAGGCTCATTTTCTGTTTTAATTTTCAACTAGCTGATCCTCCGAGGTGTGAGTGCTGTGAATCTCAAGATGCTACAATTTGCATATCAGTCATTTTTTTTAAATTACCACAAAAAAGCTGAAGGGTTTAAAAGAACTAAGATAAAAAAGGAAACTTAACTTACAGTTCATTTAAACACTGTAGATCTAAAAGCTGCGGTGCTGGTTAAACAGTCATTTCTGCTAATAACTGGTGGAAATATCTTATCTTTGCTCAAGTGGTTCAGTAGATGTATGTTAATGATAAACTGTCAGATTTCTATGGGACCCGTGGCCCTTAACTAGAGGCTGGCTAGGTTCCATGAAAAGGTTCTGAGGCAATGGAGGCAAATTTTAAAAAGGTGTCAAGATTGTCTTACACATTTCATCTGGAGTAGTAGTCACCTAACTGTAAAGCTTATACCATATTTTCCGGACTATAAGCCGCTACTTTTTTCCCACGCTTTGAACCATGCGGCTTATAATGAGGTGCAGCTTTACTGAAGATTTTTCTTCACCTGCAGGGGGCGCTTTAGCAGAAAGTGAAACAGGTGGAAGTCAAAAGTGGAAATCGAAGAAAGTGCTCATTTTAATTTAGCACGTGCAAGCAGCCGGCACGACAAATATTTTTTTTTCATATCCATACCCCCTCATCATGGTAACTACACGTATGAGTTCATATGTTGCCGCATTTAAGTTGAAGGCCATCGATCTGGCAGTAAAGGAGGGAAACAGTGCTGCCGCACGTCAGCTTGGCATGAATGAATCCAAGGTTCGGCGCTGGAGACGGCAGCGGGAAGAACCCATTCAAGCCAGCTTCACCCGGGATGATGACAGCAACAGCGACACTGACATCGCCACAGAAAAGCTATGTGACGAAGCTCTTCTGAGGCTGTTCAACTCCGACACTGAAGAAGAGGACTTTAATGGCTTTAGTGTGCAAGAGGAAGATGAGAGCGAATGACTTCTTCTGGTAGGCAAGTGTGTTTTATTTACTAACCAGGCATGTTTTGTGTGCAGTTTTTATTTTCTAATCATCCAGGGCTTATTAATGCTGTGTCAGCGCTGTTCTTTTCTTCTAAACATGCAGATTACCGGTAATAACGTGTCAGTTCTGTTTTTATTTTATAACCATCCAGAAATGTGAATGCTATCAGTGCTGTTTTCTTTTCTAAACTTGCAGGCACGTTCACCCGTGTTTAAAATTCATTTTGTTTAATTAAAACAACAACGAAAAACCTCCGTGTAGCATCTTTCTGTCTAATTATCTTATGTTATGGTCATACATGCGCTGTGCGCCGGAGACCTGCATGTGGCTGCTGCACCGCCGCTTGTATTCGAGTGTGGCGTGTGTGTGTAGAAAACCTTTTTTTGTTGGTGTGACTTATATTGAGGTGCGCTCTATAGTCCGGAAATTACGGTACTTCTCTGTCTGCGTCGGGACGGACGCATGCAACGCCATTATCCGTCCTTTTGAGGGCTCTCCGACAGGCTCACAAGGACGGATGGAGTAGAGCTCTTTTCTAAACATCCGTCCGTCAAGATGGAGAATGGAAGCTTGTGATTGGTCAGTATGCCGCTGTTTACAGCGCTGCCATTGCGCTCTCAAAAAAAATAAAGAGAGCTGAGGATATCTAAAGGCAGACATAGAGAAGCTTGAAGAATACCTCGCGGAAAAACTGAAATATGAACCGTTTTATTCCCCCATGACTGGAGGAGTGAAGAGATACGCAGCAAGCATTCTATTCGTGGACGGAAATGGCAGGACACATGGGTTTAAAGATGGCGAGTGCATGAAGAGGTGGAGGAGGATGAGTGACAAATTTGTCAGTGTTAAAAAGTCTCTTCAATACAAAAAAAAACATGATATGAACACACCATCTTGGATGGAATACATGGCAGGATACCACAGAACAGCGCTATGCCCTCTGTTGTCCTGGTGGGGAATTGCTTTGCAACACTCCCCAGGAGACAGAGAAGGATGAAGGCAAATTGTCTCCGTCCGTCCATGCGTCTCTCTCTGGTGGAGCCGACGGAGACGTATAGATTAGGCTTCACACTTGGTAGGAACCAGGGTAGGTCTTAAATAATGTTTGAAACAGAGCGAGACCAAGGAACAGCAAATGACATTATTTAATTTCATAAATACAGTGGGGCAAAAAAGTATTTAGTCAGCCACTGATTGTGCAAGTTCTCCAACTTAAAATGATGACAGAGGTCAGTAATTTTCATCATAGGTACACTTCAACTGTGAGAGACAGAATGTGAAAAAAAAATCCATGAATTCACATGGTAGGATTTTTAAAGAATTTATTTGTAAATCAGGGTGGAAAATAAGTATTTGGTCACTTCATACAAGGAAATTCTCTGGCTCTCACAGACCTGTAACGTCTTCTTTAAGAAGCTTTTCTGTCCTCCACTTGTTACCTGTATTAATGGCACCTGTTTGAACTCATTATCTGTATAAAAGACACCTGTCCACAGTCTCAAACAGTCAGACTCCAAACTCCACTATGGCCAAGACCAAAGAGCTTTCGAAGGACACCAGGAAAAGAATTGTAGACCTGCACCAGACTGGGAAGAGTGAATCTACAATAGGCAAGCAGCTTGGTGTGAAAAAAATCAACTGTGGGAGCAATTATCAGAAAATGGAAGACATACAAGACCACTGATAATCTCCCTCGATCTGGGGCTCCACGCAAGATCTCATCCTGTGGGGTCAAAATGATCATGAGAACGGTGAGCAAGAATCCCAGAACCACACAGGGGGACCTGGTGAATGACCTGCAGAGAGCTGGGACCACAGTAACAAAGGTCACCATCAGTAACACACTACAACGGCAGGGAATCAAATCCTGCAGTGCCAGACGTGTTCCGCTGCTGAAGCCAGTGCATGTCCAGGCCCATCTGAAGTTTGCCAGAGAGCACATGGATGATACAGCAGAGGATTGGGAGAATGTCATGTGGTCAGATGAAACCAAAGTAGAACTTTTTGGTATAAACTCAACTCGTCGTGTTTGGAGGAAGAAGAATACCGAGTTGCATCCCAAGAACACCATACCTACTGTGAAGCATGGGGGTGGGAACATCATGCTTTGGGGCTGTGTTTCTGCTAAGGGGACAGGACGACTGATCCGCGTTAAGGAAAGAAAGAATGGGGCCATGTATCGTGAGATTTTGAGCCAAAACCTCCTTCCATCAGTGAGAGCTTTGAAGATGAAACGTGGCTGGGTCTTCCAGCACGACAATGATCCCAAACACACCGCCAGGGCAACAAAGGAGTGGCTCCGTAAGAAGCATTTGAAAGTCCTGGAGTGGCCTAGCAAGTCTCCAGACCTCAACCCCATAGAAAATCTGTGGAGGGAGTTGAAAGTCCGCGTTGCTCGGCGACAGCCCCAAAACATCACTGCTCTCGAGAA